GGTATAGTGACTACAGAGGGCACATCCTAACTTGAATGGAGAGTGGTGAGTAAGCCGAAGAAATTCGCAAGCACCTGGTCGGTATGGACATGCGGACAGCCCCACGTGGCAGCTAGGTGGTCCGCCGATTTGGCATGTGGGTACAGCTCACCTAAGAAGACTCTCCTTCAGAGAGATCCCCTGAGGCTATAATGCCGAAACTAATCAAAGCTATGGAAGAGCTGATCGTGCAAGATCGCATCGGTATCATAGAAGGTGCGACTTACCCTCGCATGTCATTTCATACGATTTGAACTATCTTTTCATGATCATCTCCATATGATGAAGGTGCCTAGCACAGAAGTTACACGCACACGCGCACGCGCACGCGCACGCGCACGCGCACGCGCACGCCCACGCGCCCGCGCACGCCCACGCGCACGCCCACGCCCACGCCCACGCACACGCCCACGCCCACGCCCACGCACACGCCCACGCCCACGCCCACGCACACACCCACGCCCACGCCCACACCCACGCACACACCCACGCCCACGGCCCACGCCCACGCCCACCCACGCCACGCCCACGCCCACGCCCACGCCCACGCCCACGCCCCGCCCACGCACACGCACACGCACCACCACGCACACGCACACGCACACGCACACGCACACACCCACAGATATATATATATATTATATATATATTATATATATATATATATGTCATCAACCCATATGCATTTATAGCGTACCATAAGCCATAACCCAGCCAGTACAGTTGGCATGTTAGTGCGCTTGGAGCTGGTTGACTTGTGGATAGGACCGCCTCGGTAGGCGGGTTTTTTCAGTAATTAGCAGCACACTCTGATGTTATTTCATCTGGCTCGTGTGCCTCAGGGAACCGCTGGGGGTTTACATGGCTTCCGCGGGGGATCTCTTGTGGTGGAGAAATGGACCGTCATGAAGTCCGACTGAATGCCTGAAGGTTCATTCACACCTGAAAGGCATATGCCCGTGCAAACAAAACCTTGATGGCGAATGACGCACGGTTTTTAAAACCTTAATGCGTTTTCTTACCTAGCTTCTCTTCATCCATCTTAACAGTATGTTTTGAGCTAGGCAGTTTATTGCTTCGAAGAGTACTTTATGCATGCACAGTTTTTGGCTTTAACGCCACAAAGTCAAGATTCGTTATTAAAGTAGGAGCCGCGTACCGGAATTAGCCAGTTATTCCAGTTGCTTTGGTCTCTTGCAGGTTACTCAGGCAAGTAACTTTTCGCTATTCAAGATGTCACAGACCTCGAACCAGCATCCATTTTTGAAGTTCCCGATGGATGAGAAAGTGCTGGATGAAGTTGCCAAGAATGAACGTGACTTCCTACTGCTGCATGGTAAGATACGCTCTTGTGATACATTATGGGGACTGAATGTTAGCGTGAATTGGTTTCTGATTCCAGGTTATAATGAAGATTTTGTGCGGGTGTGAGCTTTTGTCATGACAGTTTTTGAGCGACCGGTCGGTAACTACTCTTCTCGGCACTTTATTCGTTAAACTAATGTGTGGCATGTAACAGATGACAGCATAAATGAAGACAACTGTTCAGACTATGCCGAAGCAAAGGAGTTCATCTAAGACCATCTGATTGAGTAGGCATTTGTAGGAAATCATTTCCCCATTACTTAAATGTTGTGGACCGTACTCACATAATAAGTAATGGTATTTCACTGCCCACCTGTACCCCTTTACGTGACGTGAAAGAGAAACCATCGGCGCGTTGCTGGATCCGTTACACACAGGGTCTCCCAAATGTGTTTGCACTCTGCCACAACCTCATTGCTTCTGCGTTATGAAGGTTTGTATGAGACTTCAGAGCAATGTTCCACGTTCTCTGCGGCGGTCGTGTGAGATATGCCGACATAGCCGTGGCCATGTAAGGCTTGTTTTAGCTCTGTTTAGATCCCGCACTAGTTGTGGGTACGTGTCCTGGTTATGGCGCGTGTTGTGTCAATTTGCAGTTCGTCGACGCTTGCGAACATAAACACGATGCAGCCCATGACGGTTGGGCTGTTTTAGAGATGGTCGCGGTGATCAGTGAGCTTTTATTAGGAGAGTGCAACGTCATACAACGACTACACATCCCGCAGTTTCAATTACAGGATGCATTGCGCGACGAATATATTAATTTTTCTGACCATGTCCTCCGTCGCCAGAAGTCGACGTAGTCCGAACAGTTATTTCACACGATACTTATACCTCGTCTCAAGCGCTTCGTAGAAGTACATTGCGCGACACCAGGCGGGATTTGTTTGGACATTTACCAGACACAACGCGCCATGGTTGTCGCAGAGGGTGTATGCCAATGGAGCCGTGGGGTCGAAATGACCGGACTGGCTGCGAGCTCGACCGTTGACCCGCCGGCCAGCTGACAGTGCCATCGGGAGCTGAGACGCTCAACAGTGGCATTATTGTGTGGGGTGTCGAATTCCGGAGCTGGCGCGTCGCCAGGTCCAAGTCTGATTGGCCGACGACGGCCATGGTTCTGACTGCTTCCGGAGGGTGTAATCAGGTGGTTATTGAACTTGCGTTTCCCAGTGGGCCACTCAGTGGATGGGCTGCAGGGCTGCGCAGCCATGACGCGTGCGTCTGCGCACCATTCAAGGAAATGAGGACTCAGTCGCTTAGTGTGGACCCGTCTAGTAAATGCACCGACATTGTGGACAACATTGACATTGGCGACGCACAAAACCCCACCTCGTCGCCAAATGTAGCGTTTTGTCACTTTTCTTTACATCGGCGCTTGACAACTAAACACGATATGCCCGGAACAGGATGAGATTAATCAACAGGTCATGTGGTGGCCAATGAGTTTGGATTCGGATAATGCAACGCAATTACAACCACTACAGCGCATAAACCGTTGGTGTCTTTTGACAGGACCTTGTCTGGCATCACCCACATGATGATTGGCAGCGATGTGTTCGCGTGTCCACAACCGTTACTTGTGAGTCACATGTATGCGCGTCTTCAGCCACTGTCCGTCAGTATGTGTGTCCGCATGTTCAGTAAGGTGTGTGCGTGTCTGCAGGCGGCGTTTGTCTGTGTGCGCGCTCTCCTCTGCGCTCGTGACTAAGGGCGTCCGTACGCCCACCCGCCGCGTGCCAGTTATGTGTCCGCGTCTCTGAAGGCGGTGTCAATCAGTATCGTATCTGTTTGTTTGCGGACAGTGTCGGTCACAAAAATAAGTAGGCGTTTTCCACCCGTGTCTGTCGGTTATCTGTTTGCGTGTCTGAAGACGGCGTCAGTTAGTGGCGCGCCTACACGTTGAACACGGCGTCTCGTCAGCCCGTGTACCGTCGGTGTGTGTGATTAACACGTGTGCGTATGTGTGTGCGTCTGCAGGCGGCGGTCTGCGGCTGCGAGAGTCGACCTCGGACGACGAGTTACGCTTCGCCCCGTTTTTCCTCTTCCCCTCGCTGTTCCCTGAGCGCGGCTTCCGTACCGCGCTGCTGGCGCAGACCGTCATGAACAAGCTGACCTTCTGCGTGGCCTACGATAGACAGTTTCTCACCAGCTGTCTAAAAAGGTGCTGGTTTTGGATGGTGTTGGGGATGTCATTATTCTGTGTGGCATGGGTTGCGCCCCTCACGACCGTAGAAGATACAGGTCTGGTAAATGAGCCAAAGCCGTACTTCTGTGCACCTACCCGCCACATAGCGAATATTGAACCTCGAAATGCGTCTTCGACATCGCTTCTGTATTTCATTGATATTATTCTGACTTCTATAGCCGGGTCTCATTCTGACTTGGGCTCAATCATGCGACTGCTCGCGGTGATCGAAATTGCGACTAAGCGGTTTAGGGGTATATACAACTCCTACTTTTCTTTTATTATAAGTTCAGAATATCCTGTTTGGCAGCACGATACTCTGGTGGACGACTTCACGGCTCGGCTTTTTGACATCTACCAGAAAGTGATGGACGAGGGTCTGTGCCAGGTAAGACGTGGGTAATTTTCAATAATGCCAGAGGATAAGCTGTATGTCTTGCTTTTACATCAGTCGTCTTATTCAGCTAGAAGATGTTACAGGTATTGGTTGAATCATATTAATAACTGCATTGGTTGGCAAACTAAAACATCGTTGTTTGTGGATTCTGTTTTGTTTGTCACTAAGTTGCGGACGCACTGAGTTCTGTTGAAAAAAACTGCAGTGGTATGCCGGTTGGAGATGATCTGCTATGGACCGGTTTGGTCCAATTTTCCCAGTTTTCTCCAACTTTTCACACAGATTCCTTGAATTTCTAAGTGCTTGTGAGATCAGTTGTTTTGTACAATAAGAGGCAGCATTTTGTCAGTGATGTCTAACGAAATAGTTGCGTGTTTATCTGCCCCGCAGCTTTCGTGCGTCGCCGCTATATGACCAATTTTCCACGGCATTCGAGCGTCAGGTTGACGCCGTTACGGCAAAGTTAGCTGAAATCACTTGAAATATCTTTGAGCTAACTTTTCAAAGCTATGAGATGTCAATTCGAGCTAGACTTACAAATGGCTAGAATGCGCCTAGCGTCTCGCGGTTGGTGTTTTCTTCATGGAGTGCGGCTGAAACGTGCTCCGACCACCGTCCGCTTTCGTGCCTTTTGCCTTCCACCGGGATCTGAAGCTTAACATCCTGCTAACTGGATGCACTGTCGAGCCATTCGTGGATCCGTCCCTCGCGGGTGGCGTCATCCGGCCCTGCAGTGGTGCTTCTGTGGACCCGGCTCGCAGCGCTCCCGTTTATTTTCACACGCAGCTCGCCGCGCCAGCGGACACGCCCGCTGAGTTCCGTCCCTGACCCTGCATCCCCGCCGCCGGTGGTCCGGCCAGGCAGCGGGTCACGAGCCGGACGTCCGGGCCGCCATCCCCGCGCTTCCTTCAGCCAATCACGAACGTCCTCGGCGCGTCGACGTGCCTGCGTCGTGAAGTGATTGGTCCGAGACGCATCGCCTGACGGCGATGCGTCAGCGGCGACGGCGGCGGCGGGGCGGCGAGAAGCTGCATAGATGCTGACCTTGCCACCTCTCCCGTTGCTCGCTTTCTGTGACTGCTGGCTTTTTATAGCATTGACCAGAATGCACTAACGCATCTAAGCTACTGCCGGCCGAGTCCGCATATGCTTCCCGTGACACGCATTCACCTGGTCGAGTACTTCCAGGTGCTGTTTGTCCGCCGCTGAGTTACCTCGTGCGCTGTCCACGCTGCGACGGCCTTCATCTCGAAGTAGAGCGTCTCGGCCGTCACATCGCTTGGGGTACTCAGTGCATCGTGCTGGCGTGATGTCACCGAGCGCATGTCGCTGTTTGCTTTTTCAGGCCCCGAGCCTGGGTCTTCTGCGCAGCGACTATATGTTCGACGCCCCCACTCGGACCGTTAAGCAAGTGGAGAACAACACAATCGCGTGCAGTTTCGCCGCTGTCTCCTCGGTCCTTAACGATTGTCATAGGTAACCCTTCTGTTTTTGCGGTGCTGGCGAGATGTGGCCGTTGCCTGCGACTGTTGGTGGACGGGGCAGGCTGAACGTTGCTTCGATTGGTTTGCTGGGGCGGTCGGGATTCTAACGTGATATGTATGGAGGTGTCACGATCCTGCACGTGTTTTTGGTTATACTGCGTTGAGTGCACCTACTTCAGACCACGATGATACATGAGCCGGACAGTTTAATTGCGATAAATCGGCTTGCATATGCACTGTGGAACCAAGCATGCTCATAGACAAGGCGGGGATTGCTTTTCAAATGGTCGCAGAAAAGGCACCGAGCTCACTGCGGTTTTAATACTTTTTGACCTGCCCGTTACGAATCGGCAACATTTTGAAAATTTATTTGTGCCTGCTGTATCAAATCGTAGCAGGTTCTGGCCAACTACATGACTGCTTGCTGATGATTTTCAACTGAAAAGTTCCATTTCCAACTTTTTGGGTGCTGAATCCGAAATATGTATTTCGCTTGTAAGTAATAACAAATATGTATTTTGCTTGCGGGTATAACTCGTTAGGTTGGATTGGCCAAAAAGATGTCTTGGGCAAATACTGCCAGCCTTCTCGTAGTATAACTACTGCGTTTCCCTTAGATATTAGGGTATGCTCCGATTAGCACAAAAGGGTATCATTTGCATAAGCTTTTTAAGCTTTTACTGGATCTGTTTCAAAGGGAAAACATAAGCGGCAGTAGTAAAACAATGACAGGATCGCACCAACATTCCATGTTTTTAATAGGAATGGGATTGGACTAAAACCATGAAGTGACCAAAGCCAGGTAGAAAATTTTGGAGGGTGGGGGTCGGAAGTGCGGGTCAAACTTGAAACATTCACCACTATCACCTCACCCCGTACAAGTCCTGGGAGCCTAAATTTGTTGGGAACTGAAAAATGTGTATTAGCATTTGCCGAAAGGTTTTCAAGAACTTCATTCCCGGCCACCGTAAGCAAAATTTGAAGATTCCGACTCAGACTGAGTTTAACAACTAGCACGATATGTGATAAATTTATCTGGTTCATGTATTGCGCTGGGCAGCGCGTGGTCAATGAACGCGCTAGCCACACGCTGCCGGGCTGCTGCAGAACGGCTGTGTGTAAACGCTATTGTCTCAGTGACAATATTTCAGCCCCTTGTCGCTATGGCTTTTGGCTGCCAAACGTCCCTTCATGCGCGGATATGCGATATACTGCGGGGTATGTATGAAGTGGAACCAGCGAGTCCAGTTATTGCTTTCGGCAGCGCAAGGCCACTTTACGCAGAAATGGATATGAGCGCCAGTACAGTTGCATGCTTTTGTCCCAGCCGAATCCTTCTTGTCCTTTTTAACGTCGACCTTGGCTACAGAACGCACGGTGACGCCTGAATATCCGGCGCGGAGGACCGCCAGTACAAACTCGCGATTTCAATAAATAAACAGTCGCTGGCGCGCCGGCCGTGGGGCGCGGCGTTTGGCACCAACGAAACGGAAAGGTCGCGGTGACAGACGTTTTGGACGATTGCGATCAATGTTCTGGGAGATATACAAATATTTTAGGTGAACATTGTTCACCGTGAACTGGGCTTCCTGTCAGCGTCAATTACATGACCCGAGCGCAAAATGATCATTGCAGTCGGCGCGCCCTAAAACGCCGATAAACATCAAAACCATTTCGTTCGGTTTAGGCGTAAGTGTGTTGTATTTGAGATTGGGTCTTAAGCGGACATTGGTCGCTTTCCGTTCGGTCGCCGACTTTGTTATCGGTCGGACAGTGTTGGGATGCTTGAGTGATTTGTGCGGTAAATGCACCGAGACGGTGCAGTCTGTTCCACGTGTGATCTCGTGTCTCCATAAACTGATTTCGATTCTGAAAATGCGCCAAAACCGTCGAATCGGCTATTTACTCATGAGTGCCCGCGCGCCTGGGTGTTCAGCTACTCTCACTTCCACCTGTTTTTCCGATGTGCGACTTTTGGCATCCTGCGAATTTCGCGTTTCCTTTGTTTTCGTTGTCCTGCCGACGGTGCCCCGCCGCGCCTGTGGGATGCAATCCGGCATTTCATACTGCGATGCGCTTTTGCTAGCTTGGCTGCGTGCCAAAGTTTGCATGGCCAGCTGACAGCCGCGCTGGGCCGCTTATGCATCTGTGCGTGACAGACGGGCGGACGGACATTTCGAAAACTGCAATATAGTGAGATATTCGAGCAGCGTGGTGGCGCGGCGTTACAAATTTGAAGTCGCGGAAATCAACCCTTCTGTGAAGGGATCAATTAGTTGACCTAGAATCATGCGATTACTGGCATGTTACTTTGAATAGGTGTTTATTGTGTTGCGGGTGCCCATATTTGATCCTGAATTTTCTCGTTTGCCACGACAGCTCATTATCTCGTCTCGCATAGTTCAGAAACTCGCATCTGAATGTTAAAGATGGGAAAATCCCGAAAGCTTGTCTCTGAATCCACGAAGCTTGTGAAAACTGAGAAATTGCGCTTCATGAGGGCTCCCGAGCGGGATGTGCGCCCTTGAAGAGGATCATCTTGTATGCGAAAATCAAAGCATCCGTAAATATGTGCCATCTGTTAATGTTTACCAGGCCGGCGCTCGTAGACAGCAAGAGATGCAACCACGATTTCAAGCATGCAGCAAACTTTGCGAACTTGAATGATGTCAGTAATGTCAATCGACACAAAGCATGCATCTTGCCTGCGAACTAGAAGTGTGTCCCTCACGGCGCTTTGCAACAGTACAAATATAAACGAATGCTGGCAGTTCCAAGCGTTTTGTGGAACGCCGACAGTAGCATGGAACGCTGTCTCGCTAACATTGCAGTTTCATGTGATGCACAGCCCTTCCCTTGGTTGCGAAGGACCAGTGCATGCTGTCGTGATGCCAGCGTTTCCTGTGTCAGTGTGTCTTCCGCGTAGCGTGAGCGGTTATAATTGAGTGCCTGTATGGGTCACCTTGACGTGACAAGAATGAGATGACAGGCGGGGGCGGGGGCGGAGGCGGAGAGAAGAGCAGTCTTCTGCGCCCGGCGTGGACGCGGGCGGCGACAACTGCCGAAGCGGTACCTTGGTGAGAGGGGGTAGACGAGGGTGGACATTAGACGAGAGGGTAGACGACCCGCGCGCGGGGTTAATACGCTCATCTGATCTCCGGCCTTGGAATTTCGTATTGCAGAGACTGGAATAGTCTCAGAGCTTCAGGCATTGATCAGTGACTACCTATGATACTCATCACGGACACACACGGCTCAGGTGCCCATCGAGGGAGGATTTCCTCCGTTTTCGAAGCCACGGCTCTTCGTCGTACAGGTTATCAGGCGCGAAGGTGATTCGTATGCAGGCTTTCTCGTTTTAGCTGAGGACCGCGGCCTCTGAACTTTGTGAAACGAGATATTGGTGCTGTCCTTGCCGTGAATCTCTACGACATGCCGGGGGATACACCACTACCCCCTTCCCCCCTCGCTGTGTCGTTCTGGAAACGTGGTCACGTAAATGACACGTGGGACTTTGAGTTCGGGGCGGAGGTGAAGGTTGTCTAGAAAACTGCGTCGAGCGACATTCGCTTTGTCTATAACAATGGCTAGGTATGCGAAGTGTGGACTAGTAGCGCCAAGCCACAAGTTTGCGGTCTTCCCTCCTCGTTTCCGTGTGTTTCATGATTGCCTGGGATGAAAGGCACTTCCAGGCACATTTCTAGAAACTCGTATTGCACGGTGCGCCTTATCTGGCTCTAATATGGCGTAACTTTTTTGTTGGTTAGGAGCGGGCTCGTTTGACCTGACAGGCCCGTTTCAAAGAAACCGAATCAAGTTGAGAGGCGAGAATTCATGCAGCACAGACTGTGGTGACAAATTGTTGAACACATCAGCCTTGCAAATGAGTCCCAGGGTTTGTTCTGCCATTGGGTATTCTTTGCTCAATCGGAAAGTTACTTGTACTGGCAGCTAAAATGTCCATACATCTGTGGAACGAGGAAAAGACCAAAGGAAACCACTGGTGTAGTTATAATGGATTCACCTGGCTCAAATCCATTATCAAGGTCATCCCTGCGATCCGCTGCCATCTAAGATTAGAATCAGTAACGCAATGAAATAAGGAGTATGTAAAGCATTCGGATTCAATGGAAACGCTTAGAAATTAAACGTAAGAAAATTTGCATACTTCATCAAATTGTTCTATATTTTTTAGGATATCGTAAGCACTCTTTCGTGCATTCTTCACATAATTTGAGTAAAACATATTGTCAGCCCCTCGGCAGTGCATATGGTGTGGATAACAACGTTTCAAGATGCATTGCCGAGCAGGTTTTGGGTAAATACAGTGCATGGAAGTATGATCTTTACGGAACATCTGAATGTGGGAATACCAAATGCCTCAAATGTAGAAACTGCCATTTCGTGCCAGTTCCCACATTTGCCCACCCAACAAGCGTCAAACATTGGATACATGAGGCTGTCAGACTGCAAACTGCTTTTTAAAGGGACGTCACAATTTTCAGCATCCGAAATAGAGTAACCTGATTGAATAGCTTTGTGGCTTCAAAAATTTCGTGCGACAAAAAACCAACAACCAAGTGTCCGTTCCGTTGCCCGTTGCCCAGTTGGTTAGAGCGCCTGCCCTCCAATTCACTCACCCGTGGCGGGGTGGGTCGGGTCGCTTTAGGCGCTCGCTAGTTGTCCTTGACAGGCATGGCCTGCGGCTGGTGGTAGCGGCCTTGCTTGCTAAAGGTCAGGTGACGTTAGAGGGCGGGGCGGACCGTGCCGGGCACTGCGGCACGTTAAGCATTCGCCGCTAAATTCTGCCGTTGAAATGGAATTGCGCGATCGTACGCTGGGGGTCATACTCGCACAACAGGTACTGTTTAGCGTGAGCTCTGATCCCAGAAGTCCATCCATTCAAAAGGTTCGGACAAAGCGTAAAAAAGCCTACACCAGCAAAACAAACCAGAAAACCAAAGAAACAACAATAGACATCAAAACCAAAAAGGGGTTTCCAAATTTTCGATTTGCCAAACAAGAATGTCACCGAACTTACCGAACTTACCGAAAATCGCGTCAGGCCGTGCCCAGACACCGGTGTGTCGGCTTTGAGATGGGAAGAAAGGGTGGGGATGACATCAAGCCTAATGTTTGCAATATTTATGTTCCCAAGGCTAAGACAATGACCTGATACCACCAGTTTCCGAACAAATGATGAGGTTGGATGTCCCGTAACGGTCGCTAAAGGTTAAGATAAAGCAAGGGCTTTCATGGACTGCGATTGGTTGCAATACGCCAATGTGGCTTAGGGGTGTGTGCGAAGTATGAAACGCATGCAGGATAGAAGTGTTTTGACAGATCGTAACCAAGGCATTACAAGGGAGAAGTGTTGGGCGCCGTGACGTCTCGTTTGCACGTACCCGTAACTCATCAAGAAGTTTCGCAAATGGTTTCATTTGGGACGAATTCCGTTGGATTCTTTTCGTGACAAGGAACGTGAAAGTTATGTTTCGCATATCGAGCTAGATTACCGGTCAAACGGACTACCTAACGGGGGGAGGGGCGCTACGGTACACGCGGCCGAACCAGGAGAGAAGGAGGGTACGCCCAGGGGAACTAGGGCGTGATCAACGGTGTGTGAAAACGCCCAAATGCAAATTGGAGGCTGCTTCTGAGCTGTTTTTACAGTCGATATTTTTACTGAACTTGCCGCGCAAAATGCTCGCGCACAATAGTGTCGCCTCTGTATTTGCGTTAACTGCGGACCTGGCGGACCATTAATTTATGTGTGTTAATCTATGGCCAAGTAGTAGGTTATGCTATATCAAGTAGCTCAAACATACGAATTAGCTTCCCGCTTGAACAACTCCCGCGTCGTGCCAACCTGGTCATCTGGTCGACTCCTGATTCCCAGCTATTTATGAAACGTTTCTAGAGATCCAGGTGAGCGATACACGGCTGTATGTTACCTGAGTGTGGCTCGGTGCCCCATGGAGGAAAGGTGGTTTGTTGTGGATGTGTCTGTGTTCGAGTTACGTTTAGCAGGTTCGTGTCGGGTTTTCGGTTATTTTTTTCAAACTGCATCTTCTTTCAAATGTGACGTTTTCAATGGACGTTAGCTCCCCTGTAAATGTCGGTGTTTTGTGTGTGCTTTCGATGGGCACTGCTGGCTTTGTTGTCATCTACCTTGAGTCCAACAAATCAAATTCTGATCTTGCATTTTGTCCGAACGCTCCATGGAAATGGCCTCGATATGTAAGACCACGATGAGCAAGCACCAGCACGTGCACGTTATCCTGCGCGCCCGCTGCTAAACGCTTGTGCCGCTGGCAAACGCGGTGGGCTGCTGCTACGCTGGCGCTCGCCTCCCTCCGCTCCAGCCGTGGCCCTGGTGACCACCGGGCGCCGACGCGGCGGCCTTTCCCGTCGCCACACAGCTGGCCCCCGCAATGCCTGGGACGCGTCACGTCGCGACACGACTGCGCGGCAGGGCGTCCCCCGCATCCCGCACCCTCGCCCCCTCACCCTGACCCCCCACGGCCCGCCCCCGGCCGGCGGTGCCGGGGTCGAACGTCCGTCGCCCAGCACCGCGCCGGGCCAGCGGCCGGTGAGGTTCGCGGCCCGGCCGACAGGGCGGCGCCACTGAAGCTTGTTCTGCTTTCAGCCGGTCTCGCTGGGCCTGCTGCGCGTCGACTATTTCGCCTGCGATTTGCGCGGCACCATTGCACAGGTGGAAGCGAATGTTATTGCGTCGGGCTGGAGTGCCATGAGCCAAGTCACCTCTGACATGCATAGGTACGCCGGCCGACTGGGGCATGACCGATTGATCACGCCCTCCCTCCCCCCCCCCCCCTCCCCCTCCATCCCTTGCCCGGCTGGGCCCCGGCACTCCATTTGTAGAAGAAGCGCTCGCCGCGCCCCCATGATGCGATGCCCATTGGGGTTGGTGGGAAGGGAGTAGCTCAACGATACCTACATTGACTCCTACCTTTGCGATGCATCCTGAATGCGCACATGCCAGTACTCCTTCGCGTAGTTGTCTCGTTTTTAGTAGTAGCAGTGATCCCTTTGATATCATTTCCAGCTTCCTGGGTATTTGAACGCTTAATATTCGTGTTTCTTCCACTCCTCGACTGTTTTTGGTGTGTTTTGCATATGCTAGCTGTCTATCCACACTGCGTTCATGACCGATACTTTGATGCGACTAGGCGGGCGGTAACGCAGATGACTAGCTATTGTCGAGAGCAGGCTGCAGGAGGCCTTGCTCGTTCCTCGGGGCATGAACACCACGGCCACACTCCGGGACCTACCTGTACTTGGGGGGGGGGGGAGGGCTTTTCATAGGGTTGTGCTTATCCGAAATTTGTAGACCTATTGTAAGAACACCACGTTGAAATTGTCCCTGACTCTTTGCAACAAGCCGAAAATTGCCAGCTCTTAAAATGTATAGCCAGCGTCTATATGTGCCAGCAGGGTGTATAACAGACGAGTTTTGAGCTCTGGATAGCACGGTGCCCAACAAGACGCCACCAGACGGTGAAGGGTGCCAACATGTCCTTATTGATGCCTTGCCTGCGGAGGATGGTGCAGGATAGATGGCAGACCCGCTGGTTCCAGGGGCTCAAGTTCCAGAGGGACTTATCTGTTTGGGTTGGCAATGAACACCACGGACAGGTGGCCTCCGGCCAGAAGGGGTCGCTCTGGGTGGAGTGGGGCCCTCAGGCTAGGTTAGGTCAGTTAGGTGAGGTTGGGGCGGGTTGATAGCATAGCATGGTACGGAGAACATCCTTCGCGCAATCCTGTTTAAATTTGGGTGTCGGCGTGACGCTGCCTGGGCAACGCGCGCAAGTGGACACGGCCGAGGAAGGCTGGTATGGCCGAGCTGCCTGAACCGAGCGTTTCTTAATGCGCATTGCATTTTAGTACCTTCAAAGTTCTTCTAATCACATTGAACGTTGCGTGTCAGCGCCAGGCATACTGCATCGCGTTGAGTGCCCAAAGTGGCGAGTTCAACATGTAGCAATCCGTAATACACGTTATGGCAAACATGATTGACATCGCCATGAAGGTGCTGCTGAAAATCGTGGTCTAGACGGGTTAATGTGGAATAGCTTAGGTGGCTGGTGATTGACAATACTAGGAAAGTGCATATGTTCTATTGGATATTAGCCCCAGTAAAATAGGCTGTACTTCCGATGCAAATAAAAATCCCGATGTAGTTTTCACAACGCGATTTATGTCAGCCCATGCCAGAGCGTACTGCGTTTGACGCCAGTTCGAAGAAAGACGCCATTGGCTGCTTCCCGGCCTGTTCTTTGCACGGTTTTGGGTCGGGTAGTTGAGATCGATTCGTAATTGCAGACGGTGTGCTCGCCACACACGGTGTAGCTGTTTCGAAGTCAATCCGCTTTAGTCGCTGAGATCCGCAAGCAACCCATAAAAAGTGTCGCAAACGGCGGAGCTACGGTCCGCACAGGGTAGCGCGTGACAGTGGCGCATCGAGCGGCATTTTCGGTGGTCCGGTTGCCCGTTTTCTTCTCTGTCAGCAAAAGCCCCATGCCACCGTGACGCAGGAGCGTGGTTTAGGGGCGGATGGGCTGAACAGTGAAAAACGACGAAACTTACACCCGAAATAGCTAGGAAACCGATTTCTCCCGGATTCGCCTACCTTTTTCTCGAAGGTGAGGGAGGGGGCCGGAACCCAAATTGGGGGGGGGGGGGGGAAGGGGGATAGAACTGGATTTGTTCGCGGCCCGCGTTTTCTAGCTTTCATGCGATTTGTGTTTATATGCTTTTTGTTGATGAAAAGGGTTGGCAAATAACATTTGTTTTGCCAGTCTGTACAAATACGTCGTCCGATCCTTGCAACCTGCATTAAGTGCCGGGAAAATGTTGCGTCGCAGCTTCTAACGTATTTCGCAGCCTGCTTCCGGAAAATAAAATGTGGTACAGCGATTGCAAAGATGTAAGGACGACAATTGGACGGGCCCTGTCCATCCAAATAATTGGGAGGTAACGCAATTTTAACGAAAAGTATAAGAAATGAAATTTTAATGCATAATTAATGCACCTTTAACACACACCACGCCGCGGTCCAGCATTGTGCAATATGTATGCCACACGGCTCGAGCTAATGACACCGCGCGTGGGTGAGCTTTGACGAGATTGCACTGACTGATCTGTTGCGGTTGGGCTGCAATAAATGATTCATTTTGCGTGTTGGGACTGCGTCATTGCGCTCATTGGCATGCGGTGCAAGATATCGTATCTTTGAATGTTTGCCTTATTAGGCATTCTGTTTATGCAGTGGCCGTATTTTAAGCTGAAGTGAACCTCAGAACGTCTAAAAAGGCGGGCACAACGCGTTAATATGAACCCTAGCCAGCGTCAATCGTTTATTCGCATTTGCCAGCGATGTGATGGCCTTCTGCCACATACGGTGTGCAAAAACAAATATTGGGGAAGGGTTTGCCAACCGATCCAATGAATTAACCGGTTTTTTGGCACCCATTGTGCAAGGTCCATAAAACCTCTACAACTTTTAACTTGGGTCGTTTGAGCCCTCGCCGGCTTCGGTCATTTCGCTTCCTTCGCAGCGCAGTCGGGGCCATCGCGTCATTATCGACAATTTTTCCGACGGTTATTACTGATGCGGCTGTGGAACAGCAGGCACTGTGAATACCTGATGGTCCACTCGTCTTGTCTGGGACAGTAGAATAGAAATTGAACAGACAGTAGAACCACACTGAGCGGACGATTTTCCCGTTTCTCGAGTGGCGTAGAAGATGCTGATTTGCGTTTACTTTTAAGTCTCGCATGCATCGCCTGCAGCCTGAAAGGATTTCCCCCATTGATGCGTGCACCATAATTACCACACGGCTTTCCTCCCGTGACGAGAATGGAGGAGAAGCGTTGATGTGGCTGTGTTGAACACGGACGCCGCTCTACCGCGCAAACGCCACCGATCCCACATCTGATACACCAAAACAAGATTAAAAAAGTGGGGCAGTTACCCGGTACTCCATACACGTAAGCGGTTTGTTTATTCCTTTTTTATACCTTGTTAACACTCTGCCCAGTATTGGGCGCACACACTCACGTACACACTTGAACATACACTATGTTATGATGCGGCCGTCCCGGCCGCTGCCGCCGCCCCGCGCAGCCCAGTGGTATCAGGGAGTGATCGAGGGGGCAGCTCTGGGGCCATACGGCCGCCCGACCTGGGGCGGACCAATGAATGGTCGGCCGGTGTAAGGTCAAGCGGCCGCAGTGGCGGTCAGCTGCGTCCAACATGACACTTGTTAATTTGTCCTGTTGGAGGTACCTTCTAGAGAAGCGACGCACGTGCCAGTAAACCAAGACGTTTGTACACGCCATGATGCCTGAGCGACGATATTTGCCGCTGCTGGGCTTCACTGTTCGGAATATGATGATGTCACCATCACAAAACATTACCATTGTTCCGTGAATCGCCGCTTATTCCGCTCATTTCTGTAAGCTTGTATTCGTTCAGCTTGAAAATTTTTTCTACATACACCGGAAATGCTTTCAGGGGAAAACTACCTCCTTTTCTCCTTTGCATGTGAATGTATCTTTTAGCCAGCAACATCACGAGATTTACAGCACATGAGAAGTTCGGCTCCCAAAAACCACAGCGCTTGAATCAAGCATGATTCGTGTACGTCTGGCATATCGGTTTACAGCAGTCGGTACCCTGCACCAAAAGGCGCGCTCGGGCGGCCGGCCGACAGCTCGAGGGCACGTCCGCACCGCGCGGAGGTCAAGGTCCAGCCCACATAAGCTGCCCGCTGGCGTCTACGGCGGACGTGTCCCTTCTAGTCACTCTGTGTGAACTCGTGTCGTCGCTGCTGATATAGCTGCCTGTGAGGAGTGAAACTGGGTCAGGTCAGACCGTGACACGATTTTCCCCTGGCGAAATTTTACGTTCGTATGGTGCCATTTCATGACTGACATGGCTTTGACCTTGGATGGCCGTGTTGTTACGATCATGATGTGCGAGGATAGCGTTGAAGTGATGTAAAAGTCCAGCGAGCATCACGTTTGGCGATTTGCATTACGCCTCTGCTCTGAGGTCTCTGATTGCCTCCGGTGATCTTGGTAGCGGTTGTGACGCTTAGAAAACGGTTATGACCCTTCGTGACGATTAGGAAACGGTTGTGACGCTAAGGAAACGGTTATGACCCTTCGTGATGCTTAAGAAACAGTTATTACCCTTCGTGACGCTTAGGAAACGGTTGTGACGCTTAGGAAACGGTCGTGAGGGTTACCAAAAGATTGTGGCGCTAAGGAAACGGTTGTGACGCCTGGTAAGCCATTGTGACGCTTAGGAAATGGTTGTGACGCCTTGGAAACGGTTGTGACGCTTTGGAAATGGTTGTAAGCCTAGGAAGCGGTTGTAGTGCTCAGGAAGCGGTTATGACCCTTACGGATCGGCTGTGACGTTATTCGGCTCGTAATGCAGTGGTCTCGTGGGAGAGCTTGACGGGGCTTCAGCATGTCATTCGATGTGCCATAACACCCATATGACGTATGTAAAGATCACGGATGTTCATGCCAGTCACCAGATAGGATCTTGGCACCTTCAGAGCCACCGGACAAGATGAAATAGTTCGTTTCGTTTCCAGAATGATTGGCGATACGGCGTCCCTCCGTGCCTCAGCAGCGCAGACCTTTGATTACAAAGCTATATCTACGCGGCCTGACATGGTAGACAATTTGGGCATACAATTACAGGTCATGCACATAAGTGAGCAACCCAACTAGTCTGCAATTACACGGTGGTCGTAGCTAGCGGTTCGGTGAGCATCTCCGAAAATCGGCAATGGGCTGCATCTACCTTTCCCTGTGGAGAGTTAACCAAGAAGCTTCAACCCGCATACCAAAATCACATTCAACCCAATGTTCCCAGCATACCAGGGCTTCTATTCCTCGGAAAAGGGCCGTCTTGTGGGCGTGGCAGGCTAACGTCTTTTACTAGGCTATCGGAACCCGCTGGTACTAGTTGCTGGGGTCGGTCGCTGGGCGGGCATGCTACTCACCACTTGGACCCCACCCTGCTTGTTTGCTCGGCGCGTCGTTTTACCATGTCATTTTAACGATTGCGGATTTGCGGTTTTTTTGTTGAGGCGTTTGAATGTTCACAGAGTGTTCTTTTGTGTGCTGTGCACGTGTGCTGCGCACGTGTGCTGTGCACGTGCCGTCTGTGCTGTCTCCACTAGCACACTGAGCAATGTTACACGTTATCACGTGTGTGCTGTCTCCACTAGCACACTGAGCAATGTTACACGTTATCAGAGATCGTATCGCAATACCCTCTCATGCAGCATGTCCATACCTCACCGAGTGCATTTTCAGATACGGTCTCACCGTGCTGGGTCACCTGGACAAGACTGACCAGGTGAGGAGCGGAGGCATTACCACTCGTTCGGTGTCAGTGGCGGGTAGAATCGGCCGGTTAGTAGCGCTTGCGTTGCACATTTAATACTGTCTGGTTTTATCTCGCAACCTCTCATGTTGAACTAACGCGATGAATCGAATGCTGTCAAATGGATATGTATTGTTACGCAGCATTGGCACCGTGATATTGACATATCGATGGCATTGACACTGACACGGTGTGATGTGCCGATCAGTCAGTCGGCGTGTGTCTCGGTGTGACGCCCCCTGCCGCTCCTGGTGCGACTGCCATTGTGTGTATGCCGCGGTTGTAAGATTCCCCTGCCGCTCCTGGCGCGGCCGGATCGAGGAGGGAGAGGGAGGGGGCGCCGGTCCGTGCGTCCCGCAGGGGCGCGCGCTGTCGCTCCTGGTGTGGCCCATTCGCTTGTGCTGCGGTGTGAGGCTACCGTGTCGTTCCTGGCGTGGCCTTTCGGGGAGCCGTTAGCCGGGATGTGCCGCTCTAACGTACCCCTCCGTCCCGCTCCTGGTGTAGATGGCAGGGGGCTGTCCGCTCTGTGACGGCTCCCTCCGTGCCGCTCCTGGTGTAGATGGCAGGGGGCTGTCCGCTCTGTGACGCCTCCCTCCGTCCCGCTCCTGGTGTAGATGGCAGGGGGCCTGTCCGCTCTGTGACGTCCCCCTCCGTCCCGCTCCTGGTGTAGATGGCAGGGGGCTGTCCGCTCTGTGACGGCTCCCTCCGTCCCGCTCCTGGTGTAGATGGCAGGGGGCCTGTCCGCTCTGTGGCGTCCCCCTCCGTCCCGCTCCTGGTGTAGATGGCAGGGCGCTGTCCGCTCTGTGACGGCTCCCTCCGTCCCGCTCCTGGTGTAGATGGCAGGGGGCTGTCCGCCCTGTGACGTCCCCCTCCGTCCCGCTTCTGGTGTAGATGGCAGGGGGCCTGTCCGCTCTGTGACGGCTCCCTCCGTCCCGCTCCTGGTGTAGATGGCAGGGGGCTGTCCGCTCTGTGACGGCTCCCTCCGTCCCGCTCCTGGTGTAGATGGCAGGGGGCCTGTCCGCTCTGTGACGTCCCCCTCCGTCCCGCTCCTGGTGTAGGTGGCAGGGGGCCTGTCCGCTCTGTGACGGCTCCCTCCGTCCCGCTCCTGGTGTAGATGGCAGGGGGCTGTCCGCTCTGTGACGGCTCCCGCCGTCCCGCTCCTGGTGTAGATGGCAGGGGGCTATCCGCCCTGTGACGCCTCCCTCCGTCCCGCTCCTGGTGTAGGTGGCAGGGGGCCTGTCCGCTCTGTGACGTCCCCCTCCGTCCCGCTCCTGGTGTAGATGGCAGGGGGCTGTCCGCTCTGTGACGTCCCCCTCCGTGCCGCTCCTGGTGTAGATGGCAGGGGCCTGTCCGCCCTGTGACCGTCACCGTCCGGTCTGCCGCAGATTCCGGCCAACACCTCCCTGGAGGGGATCGCCACGGGCATGATCCACGCCTGGGACAAGTACAACGTGGCTGGGTATGTCGCGCCGAACCGGCCTTCCGGGCCACCGTCGTGTATCGGCGACCTCTGGACGTGACCATCCAGCTCTCCCATCGACCTCCGGATGACCGCTGGCGCCTTGTTGCATTCGTCTGATGTCGGAGTTGATTAGTGTAGCGTTGCCGCTTGTACTGGGAGAAAAGACCAGCGATGAGTGTGCTAGGAGATGGCGCAGTCCGTTCAGTACTGTGATGGACGGCGATGAAAACCATGTCGCATGTGTATATATTTGCTTGAAGGCCATTGTGAAGCCGCCACAATATAGCATGACAATAGGTACCAGACTTCCTGCGGAATCCCAACATGAACGTGCCGTGTTGCGTTATGGCTACGAGGTGTTGCCGTGCTATGACTGGGACTGAACGCTGACCGCGGCGACCCGGGCCGGACAGGGCGGTGATCCTGTTCGTGGTGGAGGACCGCACCATCAACATCTGCGACCAGCGATTCCACGAGTTCCAGGTGTACCGGCAGCGGCCGGGCATCAGGGTGATCCGGAGGTCGTTTGCACAGCTGCTCAGCCAGGCGTCGCTGGGCGAGAGCCGAGCTCTCATAGTGTGAGTGCCGAACCACCGGGAGCACACCAGCCCATCGCGCTCGGCTTCGCCCGATAGTGGGGCTGAACGTCGCCCTGGTGTCTCGCTGCAGCGGGGCGATCTGCAGTGTTTCCGGACGATGTTGCCATGTCCAGTAAGCCGCAGATCGCAGTTCGGGGCTCAGAGTCGATCTGGTCCGCCCTTGTACCTCAATCGGTTACAGCGTCGGGCTTTTAACCCGCCGTTGGCGGAACGGGCGGGTTTGAGTCGGTTCGGTGCTCGCTGTCTGCCTCTGGTCGGGGTGGCTGGCTATCGGTGACGGCGTCAGCTCGAGGTCACGTGAGGTCAGGGGGGGGGGGGGGCTGACCATGCCATGCACTTCGGCGCATTAAACTTCTCCACAAAATTATAGCGTCGAGCTGGAGCTTCACAACGGACTGGGTAGAACCAGGGTTCACACAACGGACGCTGCTTGGCGCGGGCTCTGATCTCAGAAAGCCATCCGATCAAAGTATTTGGACTAAATTTACCAGAAAAGTATCTTTGATTCTGAAAATCGTGAATCCGTCATTCGTTAATTTCGGTTTAGGTCGAGTTCGTCATCAAGCAGATTAGCTGAAATGGAAATGAAAACTACCTTCAGGACATTCTGTTCATGCGAAACTTAATCACGCTTCTTTTATTTGCAGCAGATGAAATCACCAGGGTGACTGAGTGGGGATCTTCCCATGGTACTCAGCGCGGCTGGCCGCCCCATGGTGTGCACGTTGACTGACCCCCACGGGTCGTGCCGCCAGGGACGGCCACGAGGTGGCGGTGGTGTACTACCGCGTGGGCTACTCGCCGGACCACTACCCCAGCGAGCGCGAGTGGCAGCTGCGCCTGCTGATCGAGCGCTCGCGCGCCATCAAGTCGCCCAGCATTCAGCTGCATCTGGCCGGCACCAAAAAGGTATACGGCGGCCGCTCCGGAGGGGGGGGGGGGGGGGAGCGTCCGCGGCGCCCGCATGACGTGTCCCCGCGCGGGTGGCGGGACATTGGAGCGAAGGCGGGGAGAGCGACGATCAGCTGGTCTGTGTTTGTGTTTGGCGCAGGTGCAGCAGGAGCTCTGCCGTCCCGGCGTGCTGGAGCGCTATCTGCGTGACCAGGAGGTGACGCTCTGCAGATCTCTCTTCGTCGGACTGTACTCGCTTGACATGGTGAGCGCGGCGGCGGATGCGGTACGCTTCGTCGGACTGTACTCGCCTGACATGGTGAGCGCGGCGGCGGATACGGTACGGAGCCGTAACCACATCCAGCTACGTGTTACGGATGTTCCCACTTGACACGTGACGTTAGCACAAAGGCGCTGCTGCACACAGGCGCTGCGTAGCCCGTCGGACCGCCCGCTGCCCTGTCAGCCACCCTCTGGATCACAGTTCATAACTTCTCACATCGTGTTGCAACCGAGGATCCCCCACCAATTTCTGGGTTAGAGTCTGCGACCCTACACCTTTGCCCGCCCCTGTCTGCCCCGTTCGTCGGCGTGCGAGCCGGACCAGGCCGCGATGACGCCGACCCACTGCTGCAGGACGAGGACGGCGACGCCGCCGTGGAGATGGCGCTAGCCGCGCCGCACCGGTATGTGCTGAAGCCGCAGCGGGAGGGTGGCGGCAACAACATTTACGGCGAGGAGATCGCGCACACGCTGGCGCGGCTGCGCGACAGCGCCGAGCGGACGGCGTTCATCCTGATGGAGCTGATTGAGCCGCACGTGCAGCCCAACTACCTGCTGCGGCCGGGCCACGGCTCGCCGGAGCTGGTGCAAGCCGTCGGCGAGCTGGGCATCTTCGGCTACATACTCGGGTGAGCCGGGCTCGCTCTCAGAGCTGCTACGCCGGAGATCCCCGCCCCCAGCCGCAGGACAGGCCGCTCGCTGGCTGCTGGCAGCTGGCAGTGTGTCTCCAGATTCGCCAAGCTCTGTACTAGCTGCTCACTGCTGCGCGCCGGGCACTGACCAGTGACAGCCGCTCACCAGAACCCCAGACTGCCGAGTAAGTCACTCCTCTTGGCTGATGAGCTGCCTTGCGTAACGGCGCAGACGTTCGGCCGCTGGCGGACGACGTCGACGTCGGCCGTTTCTCTGACCCGGCGACTGACCTGTCTCACGGCAGGGATGGAGAGCAGACCTACTGCAACGAGTGCTGCGGCTTCACACTACGCTCCAAGCCGTCCTCGGTGCAGGAGGGCGGCATCATCGCCGGCTTCGGCGCCATGGACTCGCCGTTCCTGGTATACTGGGACGAGGACGGGTCCGGCGCAGCCTCGTCCGGCGACGGGTGGGTGCCTGGCACGGCCGGCCGCGTCTTCAGACCGGCTGGGCGCACCTGTGACGGACTCTGACGGGGCTTCTAATGCACCTCGTTTACAGAACTGTCGGATGCCCACTGTTGGCAATGTAAATGCAACCAAATGTACAAGCCTTGCTCTCACCATGATCCCGGTGCCCAAATTCTGGCATTTCTGGTATATTAAATTCTTGTTTTATTATTATTCTGGCTTTGTGGTGTAGTGTTACAGGTGCTTGCTGCCTTCTGTAGTTCAATGGTCATTGCTCATTCTTTTTTTCCATGGGGCATCTCTGTGAGGTTTTTATTGGAAATGCAAACACATTTGACTGCTGATTTCATATGGCATTGCCTGTCGCTTGCATTGGCAGGAAGGGCAGGTACCACAGAAAATCAAAATTGCAGTAACGTTTTGTGGGTTTAGTAAACCCAAACACAGAAGATCTGACACAGTGCCACTTTTCCATTCTAGTGATCAACGTGGTAACACCCAGTTGAGCTGAGGACGCCCCCATGTGCTTCGAAGTTTCTCGGGTCGAAACTCAGCAACCAGCAGCGACCTTGGGGTTGTGAGGTCACCTACAGGGTGTGGAGTGGTTTCCTTTATATGTATATAATATGTATATATATATATATATATATATATATATATATATATATATATAATATAAAAATGTGTATGTGTGTGTGTGTGTGTGTGTGTCTCTCTCTCTTTCATACATAGATATGCCATGCTGTTCACTTCACTGAAGAACTCATTTGTGGCAAATGTTGCTGAAGCTATGCCCAATAGCAGGCAGCAGCTTTTTTAGGTGCATATGATATGCATCAAGTTCCACATGACCACTTTCTGCACTGAAAAACTCATATTGGGACTCACTATTGCACTGTTTGTGCACAAAATTAACAAATGTGTTGTCTATGTGTGTTATGAGCATATTGAACATTTTAACCTTATGAATTGTCAAACTGAGGGCTACTCAGTTAAGATATCTGACTCCTTGGGGATATTTGCAATGTAAAGTTCTTGTGCATATTGCAGGGCAAAGTGGAATGTGAGGCATAAATATATTATGAGAGGTGAATGTTATTCTTTCATCACTATAGTGCTGCAGTAAGCACACAATAGAAGCAATAAGGTGATACGATATCTTATAGGAATCTGCTAGATTTTGGTCTGTTCTGGATAACAAAGCATCAGTGAACACTGCCTTCCCCATGATATGATGTTTCAAGTGGTTGAGAACAGGGTAAATAAGCTCAGTGAGGAACAACTGACATGGTCTGCCATGGTAGAAATACAGGTAGAAATACAGGGTATATGATGTAACATAGTGATGGTATGTGCAAACAGCAAAAGCAATGAAGGCTGGGGCTAGGTTATGAAACTCCAGGATATGACACCCGTGACCCCCAGAAATTGAGTTACTCAAATATACATTGTTCAAAAATAATCGTTTTCGATTTTGTGCCAGGAAGTTTGGGCAGCATGAATGATGAAAGCAATGTAGCTGTCTGTGACTATGTTAAGTAATGCTGCATTTTTATGAATATGACTGCAGAAATGTGATAGTAAAAATTGCAAGGGATGACTGGAATGAGCTGGTTCTTATTCACAAGGTGACAAGCTTTTTTGAAAAAGGCTACAAAACTTGACTTACAATGAGATGGAAGGTAGGCTCCATGGTAATCTATAAACATTAACAATATTACTACCAAAGGTGTTGTTTCAACCTGAACACATTGTAAAGAAGACAGGGTAGATTTCCTACTTTTTATAACTGACCTCACCATCCACTCAAATTTCAGAGAACCAGTATGGTATGCATGTCATCCACTAAACCTACACTGACTGCATGCTCTCACCAAATAAAGACAAACACATCAAGACATCAGGCCAACAAAGAACCACAAGGGCCCATGGAGGCTGGTCTACCCTAGGTTCCCCACCCATCCTTGAGCAAATCTTACCACCTGACCGGCCTGCATTTGGCTATGAATGACATCCTTAACCCCACAGAGCTTGTCCACACAATTTTTAAATTTTGCCAGGCAGGGACTTCCTACATCTTCATTTGGCAGTCCATTTCAGTGATTCACTACTCCTTCACTAAATGACATCTGCCTCTTCATAGTTCTAATCCTACCTTTTGCTAATTCAAACTTATTTCTCTTACGTCTCGGCTTAATTTACGGTGCTCCTTGTAGACCTACGATGTCTATCCTTTCATCCTCTTGAAGACCTCTATCAAATCTCCTCTAAGTCTACGATATTTCGGTGAATACAAATACAAGGCCTTAAACCTATCCTCATGTTTTATGTCACCAACCCGCATGTATCATCTTAGTTGCTTTTTGCGTACTCTCCCCGGACCATCAATATATTTTTGGCAACAGGGGGGAACAAGTCTGTACACAACACTCTAGGCGTGGTCTGACATGACCTCAGTACAAATTTTTGACAGCATTTTCTTTTGTGATGACGATGATGATGATTTGGGGTTTTAGGGCGCATCGACTGCTAAAGGTCATGCAGCGCCCATGACTATCGATTCATGCAGAGCCGTCAATCAGAGAAGTGCATCAATCAGGTCACCCTATAGAGCCATGATGATCGGCCCTAGCATCATGATGAGAAGATTACAGGAAAATCTATAGCGCGAAGGAACTGGAGCACTTTGCCAAACCCGACGATGTTCGAAGAATCCCCTAAAAAGTCGCATAGCGTGCGACTCTGGACGTGGCGTCCGAAAAACTGCGCTCTCGTTGCAGTAAGGTGGCGGCAAGCGACCAGTACGTGATGCACGGTCAGTGGATCAGAGCATCGACCGCAGCATGGTCTGTCGCCAGCCAGCAGCAGGTGACGGTGCGTAGCATATGTGTGACCTATGCGTAACCGGCAAAGGGCAACTTCTTCCACCCTATTGTCCCGAAAGCACGACTGCCATAATCCAATGCGGGGTTTCACCGACTGCAGCTTGTTGGCGCTCAGCGAGTTCCAGTAGAACTGCCATCGCTTCTGCATAAACAGCGACACTGCGGGGTACATGTCTTGAGCAGGTAGTGGTGTTATAGGAATTCTAGTCCCTGTCGTAGCGCGCTTTGCTGCCGCGTCAGCAAGATCATTTCCGCATATCCCCACGTGACTTGGGATCCAGCATAGAACGACCGTTTTTCCTGCTCGATCCAGTGAGCTAAGACGAGATTGAATGTCCTGAACCAGTGGATTCGACGGGGAGAAGCCGCTAACAGCCAGCAGGCTGCTCAAGGAGTCGGAAAGAATTAAATGCAGATTGCTATCGTCCACTTCAATAAAACAGAGAGCTTTGCTAATGGCTATAAGCTCGGAAGTGTAGACCGACGCGTGTGAAGGCAGTGTGAATGACCGTGTGGTGGATCCGCACACAAAAGCGCACCCTACACCTGCATCCGTCTTCGAACCATCTGTATAAGTCATCTTGTACCCGTCAAAGGAGGCCATGTGCTCTAAGGCTGCGCCTTTGAGTTCCATCATGAGGACATGTTGCTTTTGCATATTTGATAGAGAGGCATCACAGAGAGGCATTTTCATTTGACACAGAGAGGCATTTTCTTTTGTCTTTAATGATGGGCACTCCTGTAAACAAGTCGCAGCATCTGAAGCACTTTGCCCCCAACCCAACGTATTGCTTTCAGGCTTCAATTCCCTGGAAATTATAACCCACAAGTCCTGTTTGTCCTCAATCTGGTACAACTCTCGGCCTCACATTTTTTAGATAATGCCCTCACTGTCAGAACCACCTAAATGTATCACCTTACACATATCATAATTAAATGACATTTGCCACAGAGAATCCCAGGTCACTAATTTCTCTAAGTCAAGTTTCATGTGGTCTGCATTTTTTGGCACCCCTTTTAATTTAATATCAGGCAATTTAAGAACCTTACCTTCTCATCCTATCTCAATATTATTCACACAAAAATGAGGGCAAATGACCCAACAACAACCCCTGTGGAACCCCAATCTTGTCTGGCTCCTGCTGAGGTTTAGTACCATTGAGCACAAAAATGGCTTACTGACAAACCTACCACATCCCTCTCCACCACTTATGACTTTTCATCTTCCTCAAGGGACCAACAGAGAATCCCTTAGATTGGAATTTGTAGTAGCTAAGAAAATTCTTAACATCAACAGGGCAAGTGTCTGCTAGCCTTATTTCTGATATTACTTTTGCTTTCCTGACTCCCTTCTTTAGTTTTTTTGTGGCAATCCTATATACTGCCCTCCTGCTTTTTGTGTGTCTATTACATGCTGCCTTCTTAACTGCCATCAAAGTGTGCACTGACTGTGTCAGACATGGAAGCTTTCTTGAGCTATTTTCTTCATCTGATTTCTTCACACATATCTGTGTCCACATCCTGACAACCATTTGGGGGCCTATAGATATTTCCAACACATAATTTATTGCCTTTTGCATAATCAAATCAGTCCAAAGGAATTCTGCACCACCTCTCTTCTTCATGCCATTCATCATTTCACATTCTATATTCTGCCTTACATAGACTAGAATTCCACCTCCTTTTTTGTTCTCCTATGAAAAGTAAACATATTGTACCTAGATACTTCAAATTCTTGTTAACTGCCCCACCAAAAAGGTGCTCACTGATCCAAGGTTCAGTGATAGTTGCCAGGTCAAAATTTTCTTCCAGCATGTAAGCATGGAGCTCACCAAGCTTGTTCCTGATGCTTCTTGCATTTGTATTAAAGCATCAGAAACAAATGCTTATATGCAAAAGATTACACCAATTTGGCTTTTACCTGATAAACAAATTTTGTACACTAAGAGCAGATAAGTTAACTTTTAAGTGATCAACCACTGGTGTAGAAATCAGGGACAGCATGGCAACATATTATGTAAATGTAGCATCCTCTGTATGGCAATGGTTGGTAAGGAAGGTGGCTGCATCCAGCCTTTCAAAAAGTCCAGTTATTTTGCAAGCTTTTTTAATGCATGTGGTGTTTCCTCCTTGTAGTCAGGGCAGTGGTGGTAGTTTGTAGTAGTTTGAGCACTCTGCTCTGAGCCTGCCAGTCTTGGGTTTGGGTCCCTGCCATGTCACCACTGCATTCTACAAGATACCTAACAAAGACATCTGTCTTAAAATGGCCCTGGCATTTATTTAAGTGTTCAGATATTAAGATGCTAAGCCCCTGTCAGCAATAGTTTGATTATTATTGCTCCTTTAAATGGGAAATCCTTTACAAGTGTGTTGCTTCAGCACTAGTAGAAAATAGCATGGATCAAGCATAAAAGGCCAGGGGCAAAGGAAGACCTCACATGTTGGATGGACTGAAAGGCATTGTTGTATCTCTTTCAGTCAATGCTCATGAGGCTGATGTGTTTTTAAAAGTTTGGAGGCTTACTCCACTGGCCACCTACTTCCTGCACTGCTGTCAGACTACCATTACAGTGAGAAATGAGGCTTCCATCTTCATGTAGACAAGACAGCACTGCTGTCCAAGGATAAAATCCCATATGCTCATTTCTAGCCATTTTGTGTTTCTTATGTCATCTCATGTCTCACCTTATCACAGTTGTCTTCTCATGCTGCATTGTGATATTTAAATCATTATTTGAAATTTTCACAAACTTTTAGCCAAAAGGATGGGCTAAGAGTTTGTGAAAATTTTAACTCATCATTTAAGTAACCAACATCAGCATGAGTAGATGAATCAGATGGTATAAAAAGCACAACATCGCCAAAAGTTGACATATAGGGTTTTACCTTTGGATGGCATTACTACTGTAGCAATACCCTTTTCCCTGGCAGAAAAAACGGAAGAATAGCGATAAAGGTGCGTTAATATTTCAAGTCAAGCACAAAGGCACAAATAGCAGAAGTTTTTATTTTCAATCACTTACATTACCCGTTTCAAAGAAGGCATGTTGCCGAAATATCAACGCATCTATGTCTATTCTCGTGGTTTTCTCCGAGGAACAAGGTTATTTCTACTGTGCTATCTATGTTAATAATATTCAACGCAAATGCACTTAAGACTTACCTCCCATCCCCATCTGATTTCAAATTTGCCAATGAACGCGATTCATTGTTAGTTTTCTGCGTCTGTAACGAACCATATGCGTATTTTATATCACAGTATCAAGTGCTTAACTGCATTGAGTCCAATTAATACGTCTCTTGTATGAAATCCATGCTGCACTGCCAACTTTTAGTTAATGCCGTTTTTATTTTCAAAGAAAATATTTTTCTCGAGGAACAGCAGCTATTTCTGGTGACGCTTTGACATATTCATATAATACAATGTAAAATATGAGGTGCTCATCGCCTGTTGCCATGGCAACACGCGACGCTAAAACTGGTGTACCATCCGCAGTTTGGGTGGTGTGTGCTTAAGGTGGTGGTTGGGCCAGCCGCTCTTGCTGCTTACGTTTTTGTCGTAGAAACCTAACGAGGATCGCTCTCAGTTCGAAAGCTCAGAAGCATCTGGATTAGTTATAACGCCCAGTCACCTCAAAGAGCTACTTTTAAAGATGAGCAGTACGGGTGATTAGGTAGTACCACGCGTCTGGGAACCGCGTGCCTAAGGACCACAAGATAATGGTGCTTAGTAAGTTGACAGTACTTAACAAGATTTGCAATGCACATGCATAATGCCGAAACCGAGGATGCGCATTCTCCCCGAATGTGGAGTGATTTAATGTCGGGGTTATTTGCTGCCTGGGGGGACAGAATTTGTCGACCCCAGAAATGTGCCCGGATCTCAAGGGTGGATCCAGGATCCCATATGATTCCATGTCTGTGAGATCCCGCTGATCTTTTTTGGCGGGGGGAGGGAGGAGGAGGCTGCAGGTAACTGTCTGGCCATAGGCGTCATGTTGACAATGGGTGCATTGAGCATTCTGCTAAAGCCCGACCTCCGTATTACCCTGCCACTTCAGCGGTGGCGTTTGCACCTCTTCTGTGCCTGATACGTCTCCGAGTACGATGGCCCAGCCCGAGCCCAGGCCGAAATCCAAATCATTCACGTCTATCGCCCACAGGATGGCGGCGCCTGACGTGGCTGCTGGAGTTAAAACGTATACCTCTCGCGGCATTTGTTGTAGCCGCCACCTTCAGCTCCGAATGTAGCTTGGGTGGGTTCCCAACGTGACCGGTGACAGACACTACGGCCCTTGAGCTGATGCATCCTTTATATATATATATATATATATATATATATATATATATATATATATATATATATATATATGGGCGTGGGCGTGGGCGTGGGCGTGGGCGCGGGGGGTGTGGGTGTGGGTGTGTGCGTGTGCGTGTGCGTGTGCGTGTGTGCTCCACTAAAAATGACCGCTGACTTGGCATTGACGAGCTTTCATATGCATTGTTGTACTTTTCGGCTGTTGACTCAGCATTATTGTTTAGATTAAAGATGTTTGATACAAAATCACTCGTATCTTCGTCGCTCTTTACGTTCTTATGCTCCGACATCTTAACTCGTCGCAGGAGAACACGGAATGGCACAAAAAATAAGTTTGGAATTTTAAAGGATGAAAATCGTGCACTGCTATCGTAAAACATCTTTTGGTACGGTAACACAAAAAACATGGCTTATTGAAGTGAGACAGAATCCTGTTTTTACTTTGATACATATTAAGTACACTCATAATGGGAACGCTACAAAGACACAAACATATTGCCACAATCACGATATTAGTGCTCACCGCCCACCACTTAATAATTCAAGGGTTGTACACAAAATTGGTCGTCTGTTTAGGGCTGGAGAGAGTTCGTTAATGAATACAGTCTGCCAAATTTTAATGCGTCTTCCGTCATTGCACGTCCATAAAATATCAGTGTTGACTGTCAGTTGTTGTGTCAATGCCCTGTCGTGTTCGTGTCGCCCATGGTCCAGAGGAGCCCCGTCACGTAAATACATCGTCAGACATCGGGAGAGAGTCGTTGTGGTCACACCATTGCAGTGTATGGAACAATGTTTGCGGCCTTTGATGAAGCACTCGAATTGATACACTACGTTGGTGCATTTTGGTTTGTCGGGTGTGCCTGGGCTGTTTCCCAAAAGAAAGTCAAAGATTTTGTTATTGCGATGATACATGACGATGTCTATTTTGTGGTCGTTCTTGCCCTTTAGACGTCGAAAGATGATTTTCCGTAGAGCTTTTTCGCCTTGTTTGTGGGCAGATGTCATTTGATTTTGGTGATACAGTTGGACGGTTGGTTGGTTGTCTTGTTTTGGTTTGCTGTCAAACTGTCTTGTCATATGCCGTTGTATTTCGTTTTCAACGTCAGAATTTGAAAAGCCGTTGGGATAACATTCGTCTCGAAATTCCCCCTCTCAAAATATAAAAGCGCCTTCTTGAACAATTACGAAAAGCCTGTGCGCTGGAAGTTTCTTTCCGCGGGTCTGATGGCCGAATGTATTGCCAAAGTGAGGGTGTTGCGACTAGCTCACCGCCAGGACCGTTATTCGCTAATTTCTTTATGGGACATGTGGAAACCGACACACTACAAAATGACGACATGAGACCGGACATTTTCTGTTGCTATGTAAACGATATGTTCGTGGAGGTTAGAGACATTGACCAACTAGAACGTCTCAAAAACACCACTTCAACAGCAGTCTGGTTCAAATTTCACAAAAGAGCTCAGTGTGCAAAACATAATATCCTTTCTTGGCGTGATTATTAATGGAAAAGGACAGCGATTGAATACGACTGTACCGAAAGCAGACTAACAACGGACGGTGGTTGAATGCTGACCGTGAGTGTCCTCGACGCTACAAAATTTGCATGATAAGGTCATTCATTATATGTGCATTTAAGCACTCCTCTGATTGGACAGGACTGCATTTGGAATTGGCGCGAATCAGACAGATCTTGGTGAACAACGGTTCTTGAAATTCTGACGTTGAAAACGAAATACAACGACATATGACAAGACACACGTCAGCAAGCCAAGACAAGGCAACCAATGAACCGTCCAACTATATTATCAAAATAAAATGACATCCGCCCACAAACAAGGCAAGAAAGCTCTACGGAAAATCATCTCCCGACATGTAAAACGTAAGAACGACCACAAAATGCATTGCCACTTATCATTGCAACAAGAAAACCAGCTTTCTTATGAGAAATAACCCGATCAAACCCGACAAACTAAAATGCACAATTTTGGTGTATCAATTCAAATACAACATCGAAGGCTGCAGACATTGTTCCGTACACTACAATGGAGCGACCACGACTCTCTCACGACGCCTGACAGTGGACTTACATGAGGGGGCACCTCTGAACCACATGCGACACGAACACGACAGAACATTTACACGACAACTGACAGACAACACTGACATTTTACGGACGTGCAATGGCAGAAGATGCCTTCAAACTTGGGAAAGTATATTAATCAATGAACTCTCTTGCCCTAAACAAATTCTTGTACAACCCTTGAATTATTAATTGGTGGGAGGTGAACACTATTGATGTGATTGTGGCAATATGTTTGTGTCTTTGTAGTGTCCGCATTATGAGTGTATTTTATATGCATCAAAGTAAAAAGGAATTCTGTCTCACTTCAATTAGCCATGCTTCATTTGTGTTCTCCGTACCAAAAGAGGCTTTTAAATAGTAGTGCACAATTTTCATCCCTTAAAACTCCAAACGTATTTTTTGTGCTATTCAGTCTTCTCCCACCATGAGATAAGATCTCGAAACGTGAGAATGTAAAGATCGGCGAATATATGAGTGATTTTGTACGAACTGTCTTTAATTTAAACGACTAATGCTAAGTCAAAAGTCCCGAAACTAGATGGGTGCAAAAAATAGTTCTTCAGTGCCGGGTCGGTAGTCATTGTTAAACAAACATGCATAAAAGTAAGGATTCTGCCGAAATATTCCACCATATATATGCATATATATATATATATATATATATATATATATATATATATATATATATATATATATATATATATATATATATATATATGTATATGTATATATACAAATGTGTGTATATATCAAGTATTATGTATTGGTTTGCACAGTGGACAAATTGCTCAAATGGCCCAGACATGGCAGCCTGTCCATATGTGGGTCTGCCGCCTGAGTGTGGCCGGTTCCCCCCCCCCCCCCCCCGCCGCGGTCGTGTGGTCTGAACCCCTGACAGAGTATTAATAAATGCTGGCTGGCCGGCCGCAGCAGCGATCTGCAAAGTTACAACAGTGATTTAAACATATACATTGTCGTGCGCGACGTAAGGAAACGTGTGGATATGATGAAACCGTGAGAAGGCTATCGCCAGTTAACGCGACTGTGTTCAGATCATGCCATGATGGCGATTACTGAATGCGACCGACAGCCGGTACCACGCTGGCCAACGCGTGGCAACCCAGGAAAATGCCTGCAATCGCGTGCGAAGAGTGCCTTGGTGTGCTTTTGATGGCACTGCGACGGGGCTATGAGCTGGCACCCAAACCTGCTTGTCGGCCGAATCGTCCATTTTGTTTTGGTGACCCGTGACGGGTCATCACTCGATGCAGGCGGGCAGGCGGAGGCGTCAATTTCCTAAGTTACGGTGGTCAGTGCAACTTTTTTCGTTCTCAGCGGATGCGGCTGAGCGGAGACGGTAGCATTGTGGCGGGGCAGTGGGCCGGTAGCGTAGTTCGGTTATTCACATAACACCCTGACGGTGCAGCACTGATGGTGCCGACTGGCCGGTAGCGTGGCAGCCACCATACCGCGGACCGGGAGAAACACTGGATCGCGCGCGGGGAGTGCGACTATGCGCATTTCATATCACTCTTCTGCCGGCTGGCACTTACAAATGCTTGTCGGCCGACGGTATACATATAATTTTTTTGGTGGGGGGGGGACCCCGGACTGCGCATCACTCAAGGCAAGCTGGCCGGTGGCAGCGGCGATTTGATCAGTTACGGCCGTCATCAAGTCATCAATCATCAAATCATCGTCGTCAATGGCGGCGGCTGCAGCCGTGTGCAGACGACGGCACTGTGGGAGCGCTGTCGACCGGCAACATCAGTCGGTGTACGGGAGCCATTTCCCGTTTTGTTCATTTCGCCCCGGGCGGCCCATTACTGAATGCCATTGGCCGGCCGGTAACGTGGTGGCCAACACAGGGAGTATGTTTGCCGCTAATCGATTGATCGGCAGGTGCCCAAAAACCAATCATGTGTGATTTTTTTCTGTACAGCATCGCGGTAGGTCATGTCACCTGCATCAGTAGCCAAGAAAACTTTCCACTTTGCGTGGTTGAAACTCTTTGAAACAATGCCTGTTGCTCATTCGGGCATTTTCAGTACACTTTTAATCGTAGTGAGCAGTGTGAAATGTAGCTGGGACACCCGGTAAGCAACCATACTGACCAGTGGAACTGCAGCACGTAAGAAGCCATTGGTTGCCGTGGTACCGAGCTCAGCGTCTGCCTGTCTGTCAGAGCTGTCGTGCTACAATGTGCCATCTAGCATGACCGCAGAATCTTAGTTGCATACGCCATTCGAAGATGTGGCTTGAGTGCACCCATGATGTGTGCCTCCGGATCGCAACGCGTGGGCCGCGTCTGTTAGGATTTACCCGCATCGAAGCCGGACCACATTTAATTGTGTTTGACCGCCATGGTCAGGCTACGACAATGCGTCACTGTTGGCCAGTTACGGAAGAGCTGGTGCGCAAGCGGGCTGAGCACAATGAAAAGGAGATCTTCAGCCTGGAGGAGCTGTCGCTGCATCAGTGTGACGTGGAACGGATCCAGCATCTGGACCGGTGGTGTCGACGTCTGCGCATTCTCTACCTGCAGTCTAACCTTATTGCCAAGATAGGTAGGCTGCAGCTGTGACGGTGTGTTTGCCGGCATTTGGCCGACATCTTTGAAAACATGAATGATGCCAATGGGGGTTGTGATCATGATATTACGTTTCTGAGCGCGTTTAACTTATGCTCTGGTGGGTTAGTGCCTTTTGCTGGAAAGTTACGTTTGTTTCCCTTCACAAATATGAATGGTCTTCTGGATTGATTGACACATGCCCATGTTATACACATCCATCCGGTACTGCAGTGACTGCGGTTACTTTAGGTATTTTTAGGTCTTGATGACGCTGCCGTCGCCGCTCTTCAGAGAACGTTGGTCGGCTGAAGCAGCTGGAGTACCTGAACCTGGCCCTCAACAGCGTGGAGCGCGTGGAGAACCTGGAGGGCTGCGAGAGCCTGACCAAGCTGGACCTGACGCTCAACTTCATCGGAGAGATTACGTCTCTGGCCAGCCTCCGACACAACGCCGCCCTGCGCGAACTGTAAGCCGAGTGACGGCGGCCCACCGCACGGAGTGCCACCACCAGCCTCCGACGCTGCCGGGTGCACTCTCCAGTGCTGAGTGCTGGGCGCCCCCTGGCGGCGGCCTGAGGCGGAGGTGTGCGGGCCGCTGTCCGGAGGCAGCTGACCTGACTGCCGTGCCGGTGGCCCGAGACCGCAGAGTGTGTGTGTGTGGGGGGGGGGGGGGGGGGGGGGGTGGCGGACGCGTGGCGCCGCATGTAGCACTGCTGCGGCCGTCCTCTACGGCCCGCACCCGGCACGCCGTCGCTGCTGTCTGCTGCCGCCGCACCCGACGCGCCGCTGTGGCTGCCCATGGCCGTCCTCACCGGCACACTGTCGTGGCCGTGCGCGTTGGTCCGACCGCCGGGGGATTGTGCAGAGTTGATCGGGCTGGTGATCGTGCCCATTGCTTGCTGTTCACGCAGTCGCTGACCGTGCCGGGCGTCGGAGTTGCTGCCTCTCGGCTCCGCACAGACGTCTCCCGCCGCAGATTCCTCACGGGCAACCCGTGCGCCGACTACGAGGGCTACCGCGCCTGGGTGGCCGTCGCCCTGCCGCAGCTGGAGGTGCTGGACGGCACGCGGATCGAGCACTCGGAGCGGATCCGGGCGCGCCAGGCGTTCGCCCGCATCCAGGACGACATCGTCCAACAGCAGAGGCGCTACCTAGGTCAGTTCTTGGAGAGAACCGCTGACGTACCCAGAACGGGCACAGTGCACAGGGCCGAGCGTGAATGCAGCGGGTTATGCGCTGTCAACATTAGCGTGTGTTGTAATCCATGTTTTCTGATGCAAAGTGAGACGTGAGCTTTATTGCGCACGGACTAATTGGATTTTGCAATGCTCTCCATCGTAAAAGTGTGTTCATATTGCCTTACGGACCCTTAATGATGGTGTGTATCGCTGCCATGGTTGCACGCATTGCAGAGAAAAGGAAGCAACAAAAAGAAGCTGTACGGGCAACGAAAGATGCTTCAAATTTGAAAGATCTTAGTGAAGAAGAGCGAAAAAAGTAAGCGGGTTGAGGACATGTAGGCATTTATTGCACGCACGATAGCTCCTGAAATCATGTGAGACGTTATCCCGGGTCGCTTATCATCACCCATCGATGGGGCACTTGACCTCCTAGCCTACGAGGCCCAGAGCCTTCAGATATTAAGACGAATGAAAACATGTTAGCATCATATCTCAAACCAAAGTTGACGGCGACGCTCAAGTCGAGGCGGGTGGTGACTTACCAATGTAGCGTCGCTGTAGAACTACTGACCAAGGGAAGTGCGTGCCGGTGTGGGTATCACGTCCGCCCTCTTCTACGGGCCATATAATACAGGTGTGTGCTCTGCGGCCAGCCATGTCACCGATCTCTGGTCAGTTGAGGCCGGCTGGCTAGCGCCGTGCCTGGGTGGGTTGGGATAATAAGTTTTCATCCTGTTGCGGTGTGCCTTTATTTTAGAAGTCTAGACAGCCCGGCCGCTTCGGAAATCATGCTTGTCGGCAGTTTGTAGGTGCCTCGGGTTCTAGTAATAGCCTTTCAGTCCCTGTTGTGTGGTGACTGGTTTGTCTGTGCTCGATTAGTTGGGATAAGTATCAGTCTGTCGAGCGTCCTCAACTTTTTTGATGGATTCCGGCCTGCGTGCCTCGATACTCTTTGACTCGACGTGGCTCCATTCCCGTTCTGTATGCTTCCGGTGTCTGACAATATATGCTTCGTATGGTGAGTCCCAAGTTCTGTCTGTGTGCGCCTATCCAGTCCCCTTTAACGAGTCTTTCTCTTTCCATGGGTGCGCTGCAGGCTCTTCCGAACGAATCCCTCCCTCCCTGTGTGTGAGTGGTTGGGTGTGGATATGGGTGTGGTTGTGTGTATGCGTGCGCGTGTACTTGTGTTGTGCGTGCTTCACGTTGTGGTCGGGTCCAGGTTTTGGGCCGAGCGGACGCCGTACACGCCCGAGTCGCGGCTGGAGCTGCACCGCCACCTGGAGGCGTCGCGCGCCGCTCCGCCGCGGGACGAACGGCCCGCCTGGGAGGCGCCGGCCCGCCAGAGCCGCCTGTTCACCGACGACGGCCGGCCGCTCAACGTCAACAGTGCCGGCCTCAGCTTCTGGCTGGAGGATGACGAGCCGGCCCACCAGCTGCGGCTCCACCTGGACGTGTTCAGGTGGGGGCGCCGCCGCCGCTGCAGCCGCCCTGTTTCCGTCCGACGGGGCGCACGGGCAAATGCGTCGCAGATGGGGGGAGGGCAGGGGCTGCTGTTGCCTCCTGTTCCCCCCGTGGCTCCTTGCACCAGCGACGGTCTTGTTTTCGTTGCCCCCCCCCCCCCCCTCCCACAAAGTAGCTCCCTGAGCGCCAACTGCCCCCCCCCCCCCCCGTGCATTGTCTTGTCCCCTGGCATCCAACCCCCGCGGTGCCCCTGTCCAGGTGCAGCCTGCGGTCAGAGCCGGAGCCCGAAACCGTACCAGCTCCGGTGCACGGTGATCACTCGAGCGTGCATCTGTGGCGGGTCCGTTACCCTCATAAATAGAGGAATATTTGGATCCACAGGTGTTTCACCTGTACAGGTGTAAGCGGAGCTTGGGAAGTGGCGATATCAGGTTTATTGCTACGTAGGTACCCGATCTTTGTACCACACTTGCAAAAGAGAAGCCCCCGCTCCCCGTGAATGACCGCGCTGCACTCCGAGAGAAAAAGCGTCTTTCCGAAGCAAGGCCGCCGTTCGCTTGACAGGCGTGGGTCTGAGTCCAAGAGCCACGTCCGAACTCGCGGAGTCCTGCAGCCGTATGTCTGAGGCCGTCTCCCGGTCGCACACAAATCGTGTCATGTCAGCTTGACACGGGCACAGATCACGGGTGTCACTTTATATATTTTCGGGGGGCGTGAGCGCCCACCCGATGCTGACTTGAGCCCTCAATGCTCCTCTGAGCTCCTTAAGGTATATGAGCAAACGGGGAATGCTGAGCCAAAACAATGCATAACAGTTATCCCAATTATTGGTATACTAGGCAGAAGGTGCCTTAAAACGTCACAATTAGCATCATTTTACTTTTGTACCAGATGGTATCGTGCAGGTACCGTGCGTTTATGTCCTGCTAACTTCTTCACTTGTTAAGCCAGTCTTGAAATGTTTGGCATGTATGCCAAATGTTGACGTGTGGACCGGGATAAAGAGTAAATTGACTGCAATATGTGGCAGCTTTTAAGTGCACGGTGGCCCAGACAGAACTTAACGCGTGTTGGCCTCACAGGAGCAAGTGTATTTGTCGCATACTCGTGGCTGTCGTGGTATAGACGTGCGTAATTGCCGGCTGACCATGACACCGAGCACGTGCGTGCGCGCCGCCTCAGACACATGGATACGTCTCTGCTGGAGGTGGACGTACAGCCGACGTACGTGTGCGTGCGGGTGCGGCAGCAGCCGTTCCAGCTGGTGCTGTCCGAGGAGGTGAAGCCGGACAGCAGTACTGTGCAGCGCTCCCAGGTCACCGGGCAGCTGCTGGTGACGATGCCGAAGGTAGCTGTCCTTGACCCGGCGGTCACTGTGCTGAAGGTCGCTCGTGTCCAAAGAACGCCACTGATTCTCCAGCCGAAACTGTCGTACCTCACAACCAACCGGCCTCTGAGCAGCCTCCCCAGTCTGTTGACGGCTGCCGCTTGTGCTTACACACCCCCCCCCCCCCCCTCCCCCTCGGCGTACATATCAGCCGCGCCGAACGGTGCGAGGGCAATTCCGTAATGGCCGGTCGGAACTGGCTACAGCCAGGTACAGCGAAATCCTAAACCCGTAGACACAGTTTCTGTGAGTGGCATTCAACAGTTTTTCAAAGGACGGCCATTTTGAGCAGCATATTTTCTGTTTTAGTCCCAGTTGAAGGTGTGTTGCGGCATTTCTAAACTGTGTGCGCCGTGCCAGGTCAATCTACATTCTGACCAAGGATATTATTTTGAACGCTTCAGATGGCATGATCGCTTGTAAAGCTATTGCTGCTGTCGTGTGCTGTGTTGTTAGTTGTGCTGCAAGAGTTCGCCTGGTTGTTGAAGCTGAGCAGGCGGCCTGCCGACATTTGATGGAGCTCCCACCTGAGGTTGCGACGGTCTGTTCTCAGTTTGGACGCGCTCCTGTGGGACGCCGCGCTGCTGATGGCCTGCTGACAATGGCCCGGATGTGTCGCCCTGACCAGGGCTGGTGGTATGTCCTGACCAGGACCGCTGGTGTGTCACCTTGGCCAGGGCTGGTGGTGTGTCGCCCTGACCAGGGTCGGTGGTGTGTCGCCCTGACCAGGGCCGGCGGTGTGTCGCCCTGACCAGGGCCGCTGGTGTGTCCTGACCAGGACCGCTGGTGTGTCACCTTGGCCAGGGCCGGTGGTGTGTCGCCCTGACCAGGGCCGGCGGCGTGTCGCCCTGACCAAGGCCGCTGGTGTGTCCTGACCAGGACCGCTGGTGTGTCACCTTGGCCAGGGCCGGTGGTGTGTCGCCCTGACCAGGGCCGCTGGTGTGTCCTGACCAGGACCGCTGGTGTGTCACCTTGGCCAGGGTCGGTGGTGTGTCGTCCTGACCAGGGCCGGCGGTGTGTCGCCCTGACCAGGGCCGCTGGTGTGTCCTGACCAGGACCGCTGGTGTGTCACCTTGGCCAGGGCCGGTGGTGTGTCGCCCTGACCAGGGCCGGCGGTGTGTCACCTTGGCCAGGGCCGGCGGTGTGTCGCCCTGACCAGGGCCGCTGGTGTGTCCTGACCAGGACCGCTGGTGTGTCACCTTGGCCAGGGTCGGTGGTGTGTCGTCCTGACCAGGGCCGGTGGTGTGTCGTCCTGACCAGGACCGCTGGTGTGTCCTGACCAGGGCCGCTGGTGTGCCACCAGTTCGCGGAGCGGCCCGCTCTGGGGGTCCGGCGGCCTGGCCCACCTGCGGCTCGGCCACCGAAGCCGTCGGCCGGTCCAGAGCCAAGCCCGGTGCCGGAGGACGAGCATCCGGAGGTGCCGCCGCTGGTCTGAGGCGACGGCCGGCCACCAGGCGGCGCCCATCGCAGCCTGGGCCCACCGCTGGCGATGGCGACCGTCGGTGTGTGCCTGACACCGGCCACGTGTCGGCCCCGGCCCCGGCTGCAGCCCCGTATGCGGGCCGGGCCTGCGCGAACACGTCCAGTGCGACCGTTACGACACTGTGAATCGCACTGGGACTCGCGCAGCCTCCATTAATGCACGCTCATCTGGCCCTGCACTCTCGTCTTACGCCGCATTCTCATCTGGCCCTGTACTCTTGTCTCACGCCGCATACTCCTCTGGCCCTGTACTCTTGTCTCACGCCGCATACTCCTCTGGCCCTGTACTCTTGTCTCACGCCGCATACTCCTCTGGCCCTGTACTCTTGTCTCACGCCGCATACTCCTCTGGCCCTGTACTCTTGTCTCACGCCGCATACTCCTCTCTCTCTCTCTCTCTCTCTCTCTCTCTCTCTCTCTCTCTCTCTCTCTCTCTCTCTCTCTCTCTCTCTCTCTCTCTCTCTCTCTCTCTCGCTCTCGCTCTCGCTCTCGCTCTCGCTCTCGCTCTCGCTCTCTCTCTCTCGCTCTCTCTCTCTCTCGCTCTCGCTCTCGCTCTCTCTCTCTCTCCTCTATATTGATGTTCCGGCAAAATGTTTTATCTTACCAAATATCAGAGGTCACGAGAAGTATATCTATAGTATGGTTTTGTATATACATTTATATTTGCTGTTGCTCAACAACTAGCTTTCAAGAACAAAGAGAAACAAGGTTTTGGAGCAGGAAAGCTGAGGCCACTGAAACCTACATTGTCGAGCATATATTGAACGAGAACAATGGAAACCTACAAATCGTGGACGGCGATATGAACGAGATCATCAGCTTCAACATGCCATGCAAGTGTATTGAGATCGACAGAACACACCTTAGCAGACGCGAAACGACGACAATTTGACGCATTCCACCTAAGGCAAACGTAACACATTCCGTCCAAAGGACTTCTCACAGACTCAATAACACAATATTCACAAGCTGTCCAAGTGATTTATGCAGCCAAAAATGAGGCTGCACCAAGCACAGCGTACAGTTTTCCGTCCGCAGGACGCTGCGGACCGCCGCGGGCGCCGACAGGTCAAACGGTCTGACGTGACTGGGGATCCACTAAGTCATCGCCATAGCTGTCGTCATCGACTCGGTCCCTTGGGCCTCCGCACTCAGGGTGGCAAACCATCCAGATGGTGATCACGTCGTCCTGCCAAGAAAGAACAGTCCAGTAATCCTTTGAAAATCGGCTGACTTCATTGGAAGAGCGTAATGTGCGTCCTCCCAAAATTATGTGCAATTTACAGAGACGACTGACTTTAATCGTGGCTGACGTGGTGTCTGACGAACTTTTTCAGCGTGATCATGTTTGTAAGCTATGTCATTCTTTTACTTTCAATGCCCTGAAAACGTTTAAGTCTCCCACGGTTTCTCAACATGCTTTGACCTGTCAAACCCCCGCTGCAAGAATTCTTTGCAAAACGTAGTGCAGCTCATGTGGGACACACGGACGGTGGAGCAATGACCAGTGCTGGCGTCCTTTAGCAAATCACCTTGAAACCTTACACTCGGTACAGAACTTCTTAACCTTTCATCCTAGCCGTCTTATTTTGAGCAGCCCTTTCCACGCATGGGGTGTCCGGCGCTGGATGTAGTAGCGAGATGTACTACGATACTGATGCTCCTGGGATCTGTATTTCTAACTCCATGCTTGGTTGTGGTCACCAATATCTTTTGGCTTAGCCGTCTGTATGTCCTGCAGCCAAAACCTTGTGCACCAGGTATCAGGCATTATAATGTGGTGAGCTGGGAATATTTTTTTGTATCTATTGTCAGAGTCTGCGCAGATTTGGAAAGTTTCCTGTATTGCTGCCAGCCAATCAATGGTTACTTCTGAGTTGTAAATAGGCATGTGAAATCACCAGCATATCTTTGAAAGCATGTTACAGGCATGCTGGCTGGAGCAATGAGCATGTTAAACTTGAGTTTTTTTTAACCAAGGCCAGAACACTATTTCATAGCGGTCAGTGATGCTTGATTATTCAAGCGCACAGGTAAACTATGAAATATAGATGTCATCACTGCTTGTGCTCGTTTAAAATGATCAGTGGAAATTCAATGCACTAAGCTTCTTGAAAAATATAGATGTTAGAGAAAAGTCCTGTCATGTTCTATCTTATTGCACATGTATTCACCTAGTTCTTTGCGAGAGAAAATTATTTAAATGTAACAGATGAAAACATCAATATAAACCCTGATTGCACAAAACACACATAACATTTGATATGTATGGGGAAGGGTAGGTTATGTACAGCAAAGCAGTGAATCATTGGAGCAATTTCAACACATGCCCTTTAAATCCAAGATCTCATAGTTTAGCACAGATGCAACCAACTCCAGTGGTAAGAGGCCAGTGTTTCAGGGAATCATGATATCACCAAGGTAGTTTCAGGTAGATGTATGCCGAAAAATCTATTTGCACACCAATAATTTGAAATTCGGTGTGACTTACCCTGACCAGAGTTTGACATTCCAATGTGAAGATCCAAGCACGGATGTCTTGTAGGTGTCCAGCGGGACGGATGATTTTTTTCTGACTGGATGCAGACATTTTGCGTTATGATAGCCTCAGTTAGTAAACCTATGTATCACTTCCTATCACTGATCTTTGTTTGACCGCCGTGTTTGTTTGACTGACCATGTTTGACCTCTTGAAGATCATGGTGACCAAAATAATAGAGGACTGTTCTGGGTTTTGCAGTTACATAAGCGACAAAGATTTCGCTAGGCAGTATGCTTGTAACAACTAAATGCTGACCTGGGTCATTTTAAGTCAATGACCTATTCAGACCTCTAAGAAGTCCATGGAAGATGTATAATTCCGTTCTTGCTACCAATAAATTCACAATGAACACCAGAGCTGTCACATACAGCAAGTCTTAGAGTAATAAAACAGGTTGGTTTTGGCCTTGACAGAAGCCATGACCTGACTCTGACCTGTCATAGGTCAGCGACCTTATAAGGTACATCTAAATTCGATGTTAGGCGATCCACTTTTCAATTGTCTACAGCCATCTTAAATTTGGCATGGCTACGCCGCGCCGTTCGGAAACAATCTTGGAAATACCTTCGGGGCGGTCAGTTTGACCGCCCACCCGAGCGCGCGTTAAAGCCTTTGTTCTGTCCGCTTTTTCCACTTCTTCCAGTATCTGTATCCGTACAGATGTCTGCGTAGAAAATTCCATGTCAGCACATGGCGTCCATCAACCATTTGATATGGACCGAAAGTGACATTCAGCAGGCCATGACAAGTGTGGACAAAAGTCCTGGACATAATCTCTAAGTTCTTATTGTAGAATTCCCTGCAGAACTTAACATTTCACTTTTGTAAAAGCACTAGCTGATACTTGTGTCATTTCAGTGTCAAAGGCTCTGGGACTTAATGCCGTTGTTATCCTTGCTTGTACGCAATCACACCCAAACAGTGCGGCGATTGCTGTGTGATGTGGCATGAATGGTGGTGGGACAGATATTTGGGCCAATTCAAAGCTCGCATATGTTTTCGTTTGTGTTGCTACATAATGCAGGCACTTAAAGACATAAAAACATAGAAGAGACTGCCTCTACTTCTTACATTCGGTTTATGAAATTGTAACGATTGTGACGCAGTCAAGCGATGTTTGTGCTTACCACAGTGTAATTAATGGGCTGAGCAGACTTCCAATGACTTAAAAGATCCAACATGATGCATGCAATTTTTGAAATCAAAGCCTATGATATGGGATGCAGGAGTGCAATCTCTGGCGGTACATTTTGGAGGAAGGCCACTTTAAATTTCACCCTTTTCTTTCTCATTTGCAGTTAAAAACTAGCGTCACAGTGCCTACGATCTGCTTTGGCGCAATATAAATTGACTAGTTCAGGTACTTTGATCACTTTTGTCCAAGCAACATCACTTGTGGTAACTAAACAGTGTTGTGCATTAGATGGCACTGAAGTATGTTCCAGTTATACTTAATGAAAAGATCTAAAATCTGCAAAAGGAAGACTTAAACTAGCTTCGTATTTGTGGGTCACTCTCGGGTCAGCATTGTTGCTCATTTGGCCAACGTTGGGTTTCCTAGTTTCCTCGTGTTGAGAGGGTTGAGTCGGAACAAGTGTCCCCAACTTCAGGAATATCATCACGAAAGTGCCGTCGAGCTTTGGGACGAAGCCGTTGATAACCTTTGCTTCCTAAAGTACTACCACCGTAGCAAGTGACGTATGAACAGGGCAATGACGTGTTGCAGACTGGGTTACAAAAAGGATGTCTGCTGTATACTGACTCAGAGTATAGCTAAGAAATATATTGCGCATGCAATTTGCATGCTTTTTCTTGTTTGGAGCGAAAACGCGAAGCCCGGTAAGGACAGGAATGGATAGGGATATGAGACCACTTTCCCATGAACTGTTCCGAATTTCATGGCAGACTATACGGCTTCCTCGTATTTCATTAAAAATATCCCATTAAGATCATCTCGCCATCAATATTTATTATCATGTCACCCTCGTCCGACTTTGGCTATCTAAGTGAGGTGCTTTGGCCCAGATGCACCTTCCCCTGGATTCGCTCATGTGGATTTTCAGAGGTGTCATAATAATTTGGACTTTGAAGGAGCACTTTGAGGATGGGGAAGATTTTAGTTGAGATTGGCACTGATGCAAACTTTATCTTGACATTTCGAACGCTTGGTTGGATATCTAAACTTTTGCTTTTAGTGGCGTGATTGTGGTCACCATGAGGCTCCCCTTTCTTTGACCCTGAAATGAAACTTGAAAGGTGACCTTGACTGTTCCCGTCACGTTGACGGAGCTGAGTGCGGATGACGCACTATGTTATGATACTTAAGATCGGCTGGGTGTCACCGGTTTAGTCGCTATGACTGCGTCATTTGACATCAACTTTGACCTTTATGGGTGACAATGAAACCAAAGCGTGCAGATGTTGAGAAAAATAAGCTTGACAGTGACATACTGAAGAAGTTGAGCAAGCAACGGAAAAAGACAAACAGACAAGAGTACAAAGAAAAAAACAAAGAAGAGCACAGCCAAGAGTAACCGAGCAGTAGAACGAACAAGAGTAGGACGCAGTTTCACGGACATTCCCTCACCACCGCTGTCGCATGACACCGCGGCCGTCGCGTGGACGTGCGCATCGCGTACACTGTTCCTTGTATGCCGAACGATTTGACCCGCACACGAGTGGAGCGTGTTGCAGACATTATTAAGTATAACATAAGTAGAACATCTATATTTTGTATCATTTGACATATTCCATGCACAAGCAGTCATGCCGGGTAGATTTCAGTACGCGGTACCGCTTAGCAAAGCCACAATCAAATGCCCTTCTACTTATATTGTTATGTTTCTGGCACTTGCGTCATGTCTCATTACCCTTATGTAGTACACTTGTGCCGTAACATTGAGTCCACACGTGTGATAGTTCAAACTATAATCCGCAATCCGGTCTTCTGTCTGCAGTCGTCCGTTGTTTGCTAGATCCATCCGCAGCCGTGAGCCCTTCAAGCATGCAGGCCTCGGTGCACTAGAACTATCTGACCGTGTACTAGTGCCAAACATGTGCATTTGTCTTTGGCAATCAGGCACGACTCCTCCCAAGCTATTTCCATCTCGGGACATAAACTGAGGTACGAGGTGAGCGCACCAGCGCTCGCAGGCCCGTCTACAACTTCTCTACTTTCAGGCAGATGGGACTGATACCGAAGATGGTCGCACCCCTGCGGTACTCAAGTCGGGTCTCCGGGGTGGCCGCCAGCCGGTAGCGCTGCAGCACGTAGGCCAGCACGAACTTGACCTCCATGATAGCTAGCCGGCTGCCGATGCAGGCGCGCGGCCCCAGGCCGAACGGCATCCAGTTGTACTGGCCGAGCTGGCGGCCCTGCTCGCCCAGCCAGCGGTCCGGCACGAAGCGCTCCGGCTCCGGGAACACCTCCGGGTCGAGGTGGAACGGCCACACGGGGATCACGACCGAGACGCCGGCCGGCACGCGCAGGCTGCCGCACTGCCAGTCACGCTGGCAGACGCGCTCGTGGCGCACGATAAACGGTGACACGCGCAGTGTCTCCTGTAGTACGGCCTCCAGCAGCGGCATTCGCTGCAGCGCGTCGTACGTCAGCTCCTCCACGCCGTTGACTTCCTCCAGCACCCGCGCCAGAACGTCCGGGTTGGTGGCCAGATGATAGGCGCAGAGCGAGAGCGCGTTACCAGTGGTGTCGTACGCGTCCAAGAGCAGGTTGGCGCCCTGCAGCAACAGTAGGTCTTCCGTGATGTTTAGTTCGCGGAACTCCTTCGTGGGCACCTTGGTGTCGATGGCATCCATGAGGGCGCCGACCAGGTCGGCCCGGACGGTGCCGGCCGTGCGCCGCTCCTTCACCGTCTTGCGTAGAATACCGGTCAGCAACTCGAGCGGCGGCACTAAGAACTTGGCAAAGAGCAACGAGCAGAGACGCGGCGAGTAGGACAGCAGGGCCGACACCAACGGGCTGGCGACATCGTCGCTGCCCAGCGTCTTGGCCGCCTTGACGAACGGGTCGGAGGGGTCGCCGATGTTGGGCACCTTGAGGCCGAATGTGAACTGGGCGACGGCGTCCAGCACCAGTGGTCCAAACAGCACGTCCTTGATTCGGATCACGGGGCTCTTGAGCAGCTCCTGGTCCATACGCGCGCAAGCGTCATGCGCGCACTGCTCTAGTGTAGGTATCATGGCCTTGAGTTTAGCGCCCGTCGACAGAGCTGGAGCCAGGATCGCCCTCACCACCCTCCAGCGTTTGTTCGGCAGAAGGTCAAGCAGATCCTTGGCGGGGGCAAAGTCGAATTTGTCACTCGGTCGCTCTGAGAAAAACTCGAAGTCTTTGATGAAGACGCGCTTTGCCATTTCCCGGTCGGCGATGAACACCTGGGGCGTGGGGCCGGCGTACGCGCCCCAGACGCCGTTGAACTGTTTGGCGTGGCGCATGTCCTCTTCCCTGATGTAAAGCCGCCAGGGACGCGGCACGCTGCCCACAAACGGGTACGGCTGGATAACGGGGATGCCGAGCTTCTCCAACGTGCCGTAGTTGCGTGTACCGTACTTGTACAGCAGAAGCGGCAGCAGGATGACCAGCAACACTGGCAGCAGGTCCACCAGCTCCATAGCCAATCTCACCGAGCGTTTCACAGCTTCAGTAAACTTCCACCTTTCGGTTGGATGCGGCCGACCCAACCGCTGGCACTGCCGCTGGCGCCACCGCCCTGCTCTCCCGCCCGCGACAGTCGCACCTAAATTGAGGTCGGAAGGCCCGCCTCTCAGCTGGGTCGGTTGACCGCCGGAGAGGAGGAGAGAGAGGTGCAGTTCTCCGGAGAAATATGGGCATGAAAGGAAACCAAGTCATCGATGAGCGCCCGCTGTAATCACAGGTTCAGCATGGTATTTTTTAGCCACCCGCTGATGCATGCATCACGTCCCAAGGAGGATCGCATCGCCTGGGGCCGGATCCAAGCCCGAATTACACTCCGCGTGGCGCATCATTTGTGGTGGTTTGCATCTCTATCGAGCGTCAAGGCTATGTCCGCGCACAGCACGGCGGACGTGCTTGTTTAGTTTGCACATGGCAGCGATGGCCACGCCGATAGCGACCGGCGCTGATTAGTGCACGCATTCGCGCCGCATCGCGCCGCAGTCAGATCCAAAGCCGCGTTCGAAATCCGGAGCGGCCAAGAGAATGGCGGCCGCCTAAGAGGCACCGATGTTCCAAAATGCTACTGAGATAGCCTCGAAGTGGACGCTGCTCCAGTTATGTCTGAAACAGTTCCGACAGGAGTATAGATGTTGTAGGGGATTTTTTTGTTGCAAGTTTAACAATAGTGAATAGCTTTTTCTCATGATGCAGTTAGTTGTACATTGGCATTGTAGGTCGTAAATTGGTCTGTAATTCTGAAAAAAGTAATAAGCTTCATAGAGCATAAGCCTACAAAAACAAACACAAATCACAAAGTGACACAAATACACACAAACTAAAAAAAAATCCGCAGAATTTGTGCAAAAAGACCCTGGTATATTTCATGAAGACCAGCTGATTTTCTAATCACGGTGAATTAGTAAACTCCAATGTACAAATCATAACTACAAGTCCGCGATAGCCTGGCCTGATGTAGACAAGTTAGCCATAAGCTTAAGGCAGTACCAGCTGCAAAGATGGATGGTGTACGTGAGGCCCACAGAGAAAAGGAGGCACACAAGGCTCTCCAGGGACAGGATGATCAAGCACTCAGAGAAAAGCATAAACAAATTCTCAGAAAAAACTCTGCGAGGAAGTGGGTCAGTGACAATTCTGAAGTCTTTAGCGATTGTCAACAATGCGCACCAATGTTCTTACCAGTACCATCGCTTATAACTATGAGTGCCCCTGGCAGCGAAAACCCTCGATTGAAGAGTTGGTAGCAATTGAATGCAATTCCGCGTTGTCGCAAGAGTGCGTGCTGAGCGGATAGAAAGGTCCTTTACTGAGCGCTGAGTCAGGCCCCCAGTGACCTCACATTTGGCAAACGGGGCACTGAAAGGCGGGTCAGTCTTACATTTTACGCCATTTTGGAAACACTGCTGATTGGCGGCGGTCAATTGCACAGAGCACTGAGATTGACAATAGCGATTAATCAACACGTGTTGTTTTGTGGAATAGTTTTAATTTATACTTTGTTAACTCCACCTCGCGAATAACAAACACTAGCGATTTGTAAAACATATCTATGTGAAAGACTGTAGGTAGTCAGCGGCGTAGTTCCTCAAAATTAGTATGTGTGTGTGTGAGGGGGGGGGAATAGCTGTACAAGAGATGACCCTACCTGCCCCCAAATATGCTAAAAAACAGGCCTCTCCCCGGATTTTGCTCACTTTCAAAGTTGAGGGGGGAGGAGGACTGCAGCCCAAGTTGGGGGGGGGGGGGGAGGAACCACCTAATTGAATAGGAAACTACGCTCCTGCAGGTCGTCCTTCTGCCCGCCTTTTCTCACACACGCTACTTACTCATGAAGCGGCTCGACTCTGGTTCGTGCTCCGACACAGCCGGGGTGAGCGTGACATCACCGCATGAGTTATCCTCTCTTCGGCTGTCCAACTGAGCAAAGCTGATGCTCACAACGATCACTGCTGGCACGGCTCAAAACGTTCTATTGTGCACATCGCTGGCGCCACGCGGCCATTCGTGCCAACCCTTCGAACCCGGCACAGTCCTGCCAGGCAGGTCAGGCCCGCCTGCCTGAGCGAGGGGAGCTACCGTCGGAGCGAGAGCTGCCGAACCATCACTGTAAATATTTACTATCCGTACTGTTGTCTAACGAGATCAGACACCTTTGCGGAGGTTTGATTAAGAGTATAAGAAAGGATATTTGGTTGGGAAACATCGCCGTGCTTCACGATTAATCACATCACGTGTCCATTCCCTGACATTCCCTGCCCCATGTCAGTGGGGCAGGGAAGCGGACAGTGGTCCATTACGTCTATTCGTTTCCCGAGCAAAGTAGGTCTTACCTCAATTGCTCCAACATCTTTTGCATCGTGAGTCCTGTTCAACCGTTGGATCTGCTCGAGAATGCGAGTGTCCAAGCCGGCTTGAGCGCCGAGATCGAATTTGCCTTAGGCTATGCTCTTTTGAGACTGACAGATGTTTTCCTTTCCGACAGTTTGACCATCGAGGGCGACGACAGTCGACGCTTTTGCTGCCAGGCCTCTCCGGCAGTTGAAGGTTGGATTTATTCGTCGTCGTCCGTAAACATGGAGACAGCTCTGAGCCTGCCATTCTGCAGACTGGTCGACAATCCAGCAGCTTTGGCTCACTAAAACACTCGCCCAACGCTGCGACGCAACTCCACTCAATTCACAGCAGCACAGAAAATCGTGCTGATTGGGTAGTCTCAGCCGCAACACCGCTTAGCCGCGCACACGCAATTATGATGTTATTCATGTCTCGTAAGCAGATCTATGCATTGCATCGCTGTCACTTCCACATGTTAAAAGAAACGCGGAGTTGTTTTCGACTGTGCTTGGCTCACGTGCTTAACATACGGTTAATAATACCCGTCTGGCATGTAATTACAGCAGCCTACAAGGAGAACCAGTGTACAGCCTATTCCCGAAACTTAAGTCACATTAAGCTTAACCTTAAATGGCCCTCCACTTATGCATAATGAAGCACTGTGGAAAGCTGCGAGTATGACTGGCATAATTAACGGCATAGACAAGCTTACTCCGATTCTTAACATGTGAAGAAATGCCTGCGACCAGTTTAAGAACTCTGGCTGGTCACTCGGCTTTGCGATACCACAAATCACTCAGCTTTGCCAATTTACCCACAAATCGCAAGGGCAACAAAGTACCAAAACTGAGAGACCGCACTCTTCATCCCCGCCAGTCAAAATGCCACGACCCCCACTCAGGTCCTGGCCCAAGACCAAGTCTCCGCCGTGCGTCCCTCGGCCGCAGAAGCACAATTCGCCTGCATCGAACACCCGGCAGCCAAACGGCTGGTCGTTGCGCATGCGGCCGAACAGGAAGGAGCGGAGCTCCTCGCCGTCGATGGTCGAGACGCTCTTCTCGTTGGGGATCTGCGAGAGCCGCGGGTAGGAGAAGAGCCGCAGTAGCCCCATTGGCAGCCGGTGCCAGTAGGAGAAGGGTGGCTCCCAGCTGGAGCAGCTGCTGCGCGTCAGTGGCGTGCCCTCCGTCCAGTACATCATATATAAGTTGCACATCTCGTCCCGCGCCGTCGCCCTGCGGCACGTGGTGGAGTGTGAGCTGTGCCAGCCGTGTGAGCCGTGTGAGTTGTGTGAGTGTGAGCCGTGTGAGTGTGAGCCGTGTAAGCGTGAGCCGTGTGAGCCGTATGAGTGAGCTCTGTGAGTGTGAGCCGTGTGAGCCGTTCGAGTGTGAGCCGTGTGAGCTGTGTGAGTGTGATCCATGTGAGTGTGAGCCGTGTGAGTGTGAGTCCGTGTGAGTGTGAGCCGCACGTGAGTGTGAGACGTTTTGAGTGTGAGCCGCGTGAGTGTGAGCTCGTGAGTGTGAGCCGTGTGAGACCGTGTAAGTGGTGAGCCGTGTGAGTGTGGAGCGTGAGTGTGAGCCGTGTGAGTGTGAGTCGTGTGAGTGTGAGCCGCGTGAGTGTGAGCCGTGTGAGTGTGAGCCGCGTGAGTGTGAGCCGCGTGAGTGTGAGCCGTGTGAGCCGTGTAAGTGTGAGCCGTGTGAGTGTGAGCCGTGTGAGCCGTGTGAGTGTGGGCCGTGCCGGGCGGGCGTGGTGATGTGACGCCGGCCACCGAGAGGGCGGCCCGGATGCCGGTCCAGCCTGGTCGGATGCCGGTCCAGCCTGGTCGGATGCCGGTCCACCCTGGTCGGATGGCGGTCCAGCCTAGTCGGATGCCGGTCCGGCCTGGTCGGATGCCGGTCCAGCCTGGTCGGACGCGGGTCCAGCCTGGTCGGATGCCGGTCCACCCTGGTCGGACGCGGGCCCAGCCTGGTCGGATGCCGGTCCAGCCTGGTCGGATGCCGGTCCACCCTGGTCGGATGCGTGATCAACGCCTGTCGCAGAATCTTACAAAACTGTTTTTAGTGGCTTCCAATCCCCGTAGCAGCTCAGCTCACTCCTCGCGTCACGGGTTTGGGTCCAGATGTGCACCCCGTCAAGCAGATCTTACGCAGTGTTTTGCTGAACGACATGCTGTTCATCTCAAACCTCCTCGCCGGAAAACATCCAATATTTGCAGGTTAGGCCACATGCGGCTCTTGGGCGGACTCACCCGACTTTGGTGACGCGGGCGCGGTGGCTGCTCATGGTACACCTGGCGGCCTGAAAATGTGACATCACGGAGATCAGTGAACGTAACATCTCGCTGAGATGGCGAACTCACGGAGCTGCCTGCTGCGCCGCACACCATACGGCTGGCGTACAAGTGACGAGCCGGCCGGTAGACAGGCCACTTGTGGGGCGGGCGCACGACAGGGTCGGCCGGTAGGCAGGCCACTTGTCGGGCGGGCACCCGCAGCCGTTACGTTCTCTTTACATGTGCTACGATTTCCGCAGCACACTGCTTGCTGAGCCACAATCATTGGGACAGAAACTGCTCGTAGGGAAATAGTCCGAGCTATACCCAAAATCATATCACTCCAAACATTTAAGCCGCTTCACTTGAAGATTTTAACAAGGTTTACGAATCATTTGTTTTACACTTCAGCTTGCATGCTACTATAATGATAAAGGGCCAGACAGACGTGGTTGGTATGAGCAAAAAAGACCTCAGCGGCCATCCATCAATTACGTCACTTGCGGGGGTTGAGGGCTGTCTTAATGGAGCGTAACTGAAGCGCAGCTTCGGATGCAGACATTTTGTACATCGCAACGTTACGCTCAGTTGTGACTGTAAGTCACATAAAACCTATGAAGACACCGAAAGATTTACTTTCATGGCACGCCACATCCTCGCTATTTGCTTCGTATCTCTAGCTTGCTTAAGGGCAGAACAAACATTACTGTTGCGCAACGTCCCCGCGGCGTGGACGTTCCCCGCTCCGTCGCCCTCCTTGCTCTTCCAAGCCTCTGCCCCCCCCCCCCCCGCCGCCGTGGACAGACGTGCCACTTTATCCCCTCCCTCGCTCTCCCTGCATTTCCAAGCCTCTCTCCCCGCCGCCGTGGGCAGACGTTACCCCCCCCCCCCATCGCTCTCCCTGCATTTCCAAGCCTCTCCCCCCGCCGTCGTGGGCAGACGTACCACGTTACCCCTCCCTCGCTCTCCCTGCATTTCCAAGCCTCTCTCCCCGCCGCCGTGAACAGACGTACCACGTTACCACTCCCTCGCTATTCCTGCACTTCCAGGCCTCTCTTCCCGCTGCCATGGGCAGACGTACCATGTCGCCCCTCCCTCACTCTCACTGCATTTCCAAGTCTCTCTACCCTCCGCCGTGGACAGACGTATCACGACATCACCGAAGCTCAGCGTGACGTTGTCCAGCGCCGGGCAGAACATCTGCGGTAGCTGCAGCTTCATCTTGCCAATCAACGTCCACTGGTACTGGCTGCCGGCGCAGCGGACACACCAGCCGGACACCACCTCGCCTGCCGGCAGCGGCCCGTCCCCACGTCACGGTCCAGCTCCGGCCTGAGAGAGTTTGGAGCGTGCGGTGCCGACGGCGGGCACGAGGCACGCGTGGCGGCTGGTCTGATGCGCCGACCGCCCTTCCAGCTGCTCGGAGCGCTAACGGGCCGCGCCTTGTGCGCCGATTCCGCTCAGATGCTCGCAGCAAAACTTCCCTGGCGCTGACTGGAGAGAGCTGACTTGATAGCTGACTGGAGAGCAGTGTACTCAGTCCTGGTCGGCTGCCGAGTGTGATAGCTGACTGGAGAGCAGTGTACTCAGTCCTGGCCGGCTGCCGAGAGTGATAGCTGACTGGAGAGCAGTGTACTCAGCCCTGACCGGCCGCCGAGAGTGATAGCTGACTGGAGAGCAGTGTATACAGTTCTGGCCGGCCGCCGAGAGTGATAGCTGACTGGAGAGCAGTGTACTCAGCCCTGACCGGCCGCCGAGAGTGATAGCTGACTGGAGAGCAGTGTACTCAGCCCTGACCGGCCGCCGAGAGTGATAGCTGACTGGAGAGCAGTGTACTCAGTCCTGGCCGGCCGCCGAGAGTGATAGCTGACTGGAGAGCAGTGTACTCAGCCCTGACCGGCCGCCGAGAGTGATAGCTGACTGGAGAGCAGTGTACTCAGTCCTGGCCGGCCGCCGGGAGTAATAACAAGAATGTCACGTAGTATGTCCCGAGCAAATTATACTATTAGGAAAAGGGAAAACCAAAACCAAGTTACGCACGATTCTGTGTGCATGCACAGTTTAATGCAGTACTCCGTCGGGCTGGGCAGGCGCATATAGGCGTGTTCTCGTCAAGCCCTCGAGCAGCGATCACGTGGTCCGTCACCAGCAGCCGGACGGCCAGCGGCGCGGCTCGCGTGTACCTAGCGCGTGCATGTGCGTGCGGAAGGCGAATGGGTGGATGACCGTGTCCCCGGCGATGTCGCAGGCGGTCTCCGTGTGCGTTTGCGAGTACGGGAAGATGTAGCCGCCAGTGCCCATCTGAAGGACGCCCGCTGACTTGGGCTGCCTATGAAAGAGATGCTTGAGAGCAGGCAGATGGCCAGCTGCCTCAGCAGATCGCTTCACTGGATTTCAGCTGCGGCTTGGAAGCAGTGATTAGGCTACGGGCAACGGCAAGTACGCTGCTGTTGTGGTCGAGGCCAACAAACTATGTGCTTTTCATGCTCAGTCATTTCTGGTGACTACTTTGCCTGTGGGAACCCAATAATATTTTCGAGGTGCTCGAAATGTTTATGTATGTTTTATTATTTAGGTATGTTTTATTTTTAACCCAATATTATTTGCAAATGTTA